TGTGTGAAGCTGGGCTCCTGGAGTGGGGCGTGGCCATGCGTAGGTGGGCACAGCTGGACTGAGCCTGGGCTTTTAAGGGTGGTGTCACGGGAAAGGAACCAGCAGAAGAAAGAGCAACAGAATGAGCGAGGGGAACAGAGCTAAGAGCAAGAGTAGCAGTGGTGGAGGCAGCAGAGAAGCAGAGACAGCCGGGGTGGGGGTGGGGGGGAGAGGCACTCCTTTTGGACTCCCCGTTTGGACACCGACTCATTTGGGTGCCCTCCCTCGTCCTTCGTCCTTCGCCTTCGCCAGTGTGGCTCCTCCCGGCGAGGGCTCAGGGAGGCTGGGTTCAAACTCACCAGCTGCTCCTCAGGCTGCATCCGCCTCGCCAGGACCTCAGATCTCAGATCCCCGCGACGGCGCTGCTGGCCTCCCGAGGCCGCCTTCCCCCAGCAGAAGGTGCAGCTCCAGGGGCTCCTGGGGTGGGCACAGGTGAGCAGGGGCGCGGCCAGCAACAGCCCCTGCGCACCCTTCAGAAGGCTGAGGGCACAGCAGGGACGGAGGGGACCCCTCCCGGAGCCTCCCGGCCCCCAAGTGGGGTCCAAGGTGATGGCCTCTCCCCAGCAATGGGGAGGGGCGTCAGGTGAGGGGGCGTCTGCTTCCCCACCTGAGCTGCGGGGAGCGCAGGATCGTTGCCCACCAGGCCCGTCGGAAACTGGTCCCGAGGGACCCGGGTGCCTCCGCCTCTTGAGAACAGGCCACATTTTCTGCCACTTCCGAATAATAATAATAATAATAATAATAATAATAGTAATAGTAGCAATAATAAATAGTGACGTTCCCATTCCTGACCCCCTCGGCAGGGCGCTGGGCCTAGACGCGGGGGGGCTGTCTCGGGGGACAGGGTGGCGGGGGTCAAGGGAGGCTGTCTCGGGGGACAGGGTGGCGGGGGTCAAGGTGGCTCGGGCCGGCTCAGAGCCCCGAGGGGACACAGGCTGCCACCCCCAGGCTGGCGGGTCCCACAGCCTTGGGCCCCGAGTCCTGCCCTTCCTCTGCCAGGAGCCGCAGAGGGGGGCCGGGGGGCACCCTGGCGCTCCCCTGCCAGCCTCTGCCAGTGCGGAGTGGGGAGTGTGGTGAGCGGGACGGCAGCCCGTGCGCAAGGCCCTCCCGCAGGCGGCACAGTGCCCCAGCGCGCCCCCTCTGCGCCCCGCCCTCTGCGCCCCGCCTCGCATTCCGGGGCGCCTTCCTGCTGGAGGGGAGAAAGGCAGCTCTGCCTGGACCCATGACCCCGCCTGGGCGACCAGGAGCTCGGGAGCTCCTGGTCTCGGGAGCTCGAGGGCGCGTCCTCCTGGCCTGTCCGGAGTGGACGCTCCGGCCCCACAGACCGGCGGCCACGCAGCTCTCCGGAGGGGCCACCCCGGCCTTTCCGCGGGGACCAGGCTGGACAATCGCCGAGCCCCGCTTCCCGGCTGCAGGCCCTTCCCGCCCCTGAGCTGCCCAGGACCAGGCAGCTGCGTCGTCCAGGCGCTGGTCACAAACACGGACCTACTGGTGCAAACCTGCTTTGCTCAGGGTCCCCGTGGTTTGGAAACTCGTGAAATTTGACAGGACACAGCTTCAGGCAACTTGCTCAGTTTTGCAGGCCTGGAAAGGTGAATTATTTTGTTCTTTCTGCCATCGAAGGGATCTGGTTTGTGAGCTGGGTGGCACCCAGGCCTCAGGTGCCAGTGGTCAGCATCCCCCTGGGGTGGTGCCTGCCCAGCTGGCGCATGGGCAGCATGAGGGCAGCCCTGGTGTCAGAGCCGCTGCGCAGGGAACCCCTTCTGTGGGCTGAGAAACCACACGGGTCTTTCTTGTGGCCTCAGAATGTGGTCGAGTCGATTCTACAAGGGGTTTAGACGACGGAGCTTTACCACTGGGTAAGACCAGGAGCATCTGGTGCCACTCCAGGTCCCAAAAGACAGAGTGTGGGGTTCTGCACACTAGGGCTTCTCTACGCTGCAGGAGGCTCAGAAAGTCCTTCCGCCTGTGCCATACCACTGCACCCCCCCTAGCTCCCAGCCCCTTGGGAACCAGGCAAGGCAGGATGTGGACCCTGGGGAGTGGAGCCAGGGTTGAAGGGATGAGAATCATCCCTGCCCTCAATGGTCCACGAGCCAAGTGCAGGGTGAGGACCTCAGGGCTGCAGTGGCCTCATCCACTCTCAAAAGTAGCCTCTTGGCCAAGGAATGATCCCCCTTGACCTGGGAAGGCTGCCCATCTCAGTCTTAACTGGGGAGGTTTCTTGCTGGGACTTACTGGGTCAACCTCCGCCTTCTAGGCCCCAGGACTTCATAAAGAGGGCTCCACCCGCCGCAGGCCGGGCGTCTCTCTGGCCTTCCCTTCCTGAACTCAACAGTCAGATTTTCTTGTCATTGGAGTTGACATTCTATGGCCTTCCCCACCTCCGACTGCACATCTGGCCTGCTCTGAGCCAGTGCACAGCTCCTGCTCCTCCAGTTGAGGCCCTGGCTGGATCCTAGTCCCTGAGCCTCCCCAGTCTCTGCAGTGGAGGTTTCCAGAACACACAGTGTGACAGGAATGCCAGAGAAAAGTCATATGCTCCCAAACAACAGTTCAAAGACAGGCAGCTCCGCAGTCACGTTCTGTCATGAAAAGTGGGGTGCTTGCTTCAATTTGACAGTTCGGCCCCACCCTCCCTCTACCCCTCCTGCTGTTTCTGGGTGTTAATAAAAAGCTCAGGTGCTCCCCTCTCAGTCTCAGTGAGAAGTTCAACAAGACAGGCCCAGCCCTGCATAGGGGATCCTCCCCCAGCCCCACCTGCACCACAGGAACTCGGCTCTGCTCTCTCCATTCAAGCTGAGGGCCTGCCCGGCTCTCCCCAGGAACCTCAGTCCGAGTAACACACTCTTCAATCTCTCTTGGTGTCCATCATCACTTTCTATAGTCAAACCCAGCTTTTGGTGGAGGGCTGCGCCCACTTTCCTGCAGGCAAACCACAGGGCCCGCTCAGCAGGTGGGGGTCTAGGAGACCACAGGGGTCTTTCTTCTCGCTCTGCTCTGCTAACTGGCTACACTCCCTGCTGCTCCACTTTGAGCTGGGCTGCTGCTCTCAGGGCCGTGGCGTTGAGGCTGCAGTAATGCAACTGCAGGCACCGTTACTCTCCCCAGCTTTGAACATGCCAAGTGTGCAGGGAAGTGGAGACACAATCACAGCTGCTGGAAACTGCTCTGGCATCATGAGTCTCAATTCTTGAAGGCTGCGCTTCAGTTTATACTGGATTCTATTTTATTAACTGTGAACTGGTTAACGACTTTGACAGAAGGCCCGTGGGTTCTATTTTGTAAAGCTGGCTGTAAATATCGAAGACCTACTTTGGGTCTGCTTCATTCATCATGGCAGGGCAACCTTGTCCACATGGGGCATTTGTAGGAACAGGTGCTGTGATCACGGCCCATTTAGGTAAGGCAACAGCTTCCATGGTTAAGGCAAGTGTACCTGTTTGTCCCCTATGTTAGTGTTGGTAGCTCCCCTAAGAGGGTAGAGGCTGCCATGTTTAAATTTATTGGAATCTTCCCCAATAAGATCCTCACATCTGATCTTATTGACATTGTTGCCACCACTCACTTGCAACTGGTACGTACTTTGCCATCACAGATTTGGCACGTGTGTCCTGTTTGGTGCCTGTTTCATCAGCATCTCACAGTCGCTTGCTTTGGCCTCTGCAGGGACACAGCACACCTTTACCTGGCTACCGTGGGTCCATCAGCTACTCGGCCTCACACACAGTGTCTGCAGGTCCCATCTTAACTGCCTGAGACCCTCCTGGGGAGCACAAGGATGACCCTGCATCACTGATATCCTTCTCATTCAGAGATGAGATGTCACACTCATTCCAAGTATGCAATTACTCACAGAGGAACTCACACAGGCCCTCCCTGGTAGCACAAGGGGTTAAGACGCAGCACTATGAAGCTATCTGGAGCCACTGCAGCATGAGTTCGATCCCCGGCCAGGGAGCTACCCACATGGTGCAGCAGACCTCTCCTGACTTGCCCGCTGCTCCCCTCAGCAGTGTATTTCAGTCAATCTGCCTGTTCTGTTCCCCACTCTGTCTCTGGTGAATCCTCTTACTCTAAGCCCCACCCCCCAACATCTCTGCCTGGCACCACAGTTCTTGTATGCATAAATAAATAAATCTTTTTTTTTTTTTTAAAGGAACTCACATAAAGGGATGCCCTCTCCCAGCCCCTGCCATGGCTCCCGCGCAGCAGCCGCTTACAGCCAGCCACCGGATGTGGACTTGTGCCTCAGGCCTCTTACCATGACACAGCCCAGAGCTAGAAGCCCTTGGAGCCGGGTCTGCTGCAAAGCAACGTGACATGGGGCGAGTCCTCCTAACTGGCTGGTTCTTTACATGGAACAAAGGGTCATGAAAGCAGATTTGCCAAAGCTACTTGTTAGCAACAAGAGCTAAGACTCCACAGCACAGAGCAACACTAGATTTCCACACAAATGTCCCCAAGCCTTCAATATTAAAAAATAATTTGTCCTCATTCATTCATTTTCCAACCCGATTATTCCAGTTCAGGGTCTCACGTGGCTGGAGACTCTCTTGGCAGCTGAGGGCAATGAGGGCAGCAGCCTTGGACAGGACACCCTCCACCTGGGGCGCACACACGACATCCATCTCCTTGGTGAGCCTCTTGCGCTCATCTTTAGGATGTGGGAGCAGAGCAGATGGTGGGAGAAACCCACACGGGCCTGGCTGGGAAGCGGAGCTCTTTTCTCAACAAGATCATAATAAAACTGAGGGCCGGGCTGTTGCAGGAAATGACCCTGCTAACGTGATTTCCGGAAAAGCCCTTGTTACTCCATCACTCAGAACTAAGCACCATGCTCATTCTACTGGGGGGCTCCCGATTGGTGGGACTGAATGTTTGGGTCACGGGTGACCCCAGCTCTCAGGTCACAGGAGTAAGAAGGAACTATTACATCAGGGCCATTAATTAATGATCTGATTTTAAAGATCTTTATTTTTATCTGGTTACAGAAGTAATAAACGGTGATGATAAAAACCCCAACTGCACACAAAGAAGATACACAGAAGAGAAAAGCCCCTTGTCGTCCCATCCCAGAATAACCAATTCCTTCAGATATTTTTTTACTCATACAAATACATACTCCAGAAACAAAACTGAGCTTCCCCTCTCCACATCACCACCAATTTAAGCTTCCAGAAGTTTCCTGACCTTAAAACCCTTTGGTGGTTTTCTATGGAGTAAATGATGAGTCCATAGCTGTGAATCCATGACGGATTCACATTTACGTTCTTCCCTCATACTTTCTACTATAAGGAGCACCCCTGTACATGTCAAGGTGTACAAATTAGCATGGAAAAGACCATTTACACAGTAAACTGGCACAGGGGGTATCACTGTCTTATAACCTTTGAGTGAATGCGCAGAGGGCAGGCCAGCTCCAGTGCCCCCTTGCCACCCCTGGACGTCATGATGGAGTGGGGAGCTCCTGCAGGGGCTGCGTCTGGAGGAGATATTTAAACAAGAAGGTGGAGAGTTGCGTCTGGGGCAGCCTATAGATGGAGCGAGGCTTGGCCGATACAAGGCTCAGCTGAAATGCATCGTTCCGTCCCGGCGCTACCGGTGTACATGTGTCGAACTGAGAAGCACTGAGGGTGTAGGCTGGCCTTCTTGGCCTTTCCCAGGCTGTTCTTGCTTATTTCAATACCATAATTGCTTTTTAAACTGGAACACTTTATTTCTGACACCTTTCGTTTGTAACCATCCAAATATCCAGATCTCTCTCTAAAACATGTATACATATTAGTGCTTGCCTTACACTTTTTTTTTTTAAAGATTTATTTATTTATTTATACAAGCACTGGGTACAGTCAGAAGTGCGGGAGGGTGAGAGAATTCACCAGAGCCAGAGCGGGGAGCAGAACAGGCAGACTGATGAAATACACTGCTGAGGGGAGCAGCGGGCGTGGCAGGAGAGGTCTGTGCACCCTCACGGGTGACCGGGGATTGAACCGGCGCTGCAGAGGCTGCGGGCAGCTTTGCAGCCCAGCGCTCAACCGCTGTGCCACCGGGGAGGCCCAGCTTGCCCTACACTTTAAAGAGTTATTTGCTTCCCATCATCAATAAGCTACAAAAGTCATGCGTGTGCACACGTGCCGGTGTGCTAACCCAGTCATTATGGAGACGCATGCCTCCATGGGACGGAAACTCAGGCCTGGGAAACTCGAGGACTCGGAGAGACTTTGGCCAAGGGAAGTCTGTAACGTGGCAACTGAGAAATTCACCTGCTATTTACCTCTCTTGAGACTTATTCTTGGAGGACAATGCAAAAGTCCTTTCTGAAAGAGAGAAGGGTCAGTAAGTGAGGTTGTTCTGGAGGTCTTCTGTGCAAACATGAAACTTTCCATCTCCTAGTGGTTATTTGTACCAGGCCATCCTCTGGGGTGTCAAATTCAAAGTGTCTAAAGGAAAAATTAGCTCCTTCCTTCTTAGTTCTTCTTCTGGACTTTTTTAAAAAATAAAATCACCTTTCCCTGCTACTCAAGCCCATGGCCAGTTCTTTTCTAGTCCCTTTCCCTCTCACTGCTTTTCCTTACCCTTCTTCCTTTCTAGATAAAAACCCTGTGATTCCCAGTGGTCACTGGCAGGCTCCGTGTTGGATGTCGGGATCACAAAGACTAGCACCCTTGTCTGTTTCACAGCTTGGACCGGGGAAGTGCAGAAGCGTGACAGGCGGCCTGCATGTGCCTCCCTGAGGCGTCTGGTGCAGTGGGGTCTTGAGGTGGTGTTCATAGGGTGCAGGATGCAGGGAAGCTGTTGGTGAGGTCTATGATTTCCTCTAGCTTCCTTTCAGCCCACCCTACCCCCTACCACTGGGCTAAACTTCTTAAATCTCTTCTGACCGCAAAATCCTTTGCTTGCATTTAAAGTTCTCCACCTTCAGCACCAATCAGTGTTTCCAACTTTGTCACTTACAACTTCCGTCGATGAATGGCTTAGCTCTTTCCCAAGCAGGCTGTGGGATCCCCGAGGGGATTTCTTCCCACTCTGTTACTGAAATTCCACGCACCCCTCAGGGAATTGAACCCGTCACCTCCCTGTCCCAGGTCATCGTCATACCTCCAGCAGCTGTTCTAGGGTCTGTCCTCGGCATCGAACACTCCGCTTCCATTTCTTTGAATTCGCCCGTTTTCCTTCAATTTCAAATTCGTGTGGCGTGAACCACACTCCCGTCTCATTTTGAATGCATTTCTCCAAGGATCCTGTGAGACAGAGACGGCCCTTCCAGCACCCACTTCCATCTTTTGTGACTCCACCTAAACCTCTGAACCCCTAATTGTGGTGCTCCATCTTTCTGGGCCCAGAGAGACTCCTTGTGATGGGAGGGCAGTGCCAGGGCATCTGGATTCCTCCTCTTGCCAATCAAAGGAAGGCAGAAAACTTGCCCTACCTAAAACCTGCTGGCGTGGTGGCGGAGCAGGGCGGGGGTTAGCTCTGTGAGCCCCCTACGTACTCTAAGGACGGCCGGTCAGTGTCAAGGGCCCATGGGCCACTTTTATGTCAGCGCAGGGTGGCCTGGTCACCAGTTGTACCTCAACATGGAAAAGCTTCAAAATTCCTTCTTAACAAGCACGTCATTTTCTGCCCCGTGGCTGGCAGGGTCCACTTCCTGAGCAATGTCCCCCCGCTAGTGGGGCCTCCCTCTAGGGGTTCCCAAGAGCAGAAGCTCAAGGAGCTCACCTCGCTTCATTTTCTCCTTGTATAAAAACCCCTTCACGTCCCCACAGATCACGGGAAGTATTGGAGAGTTAAAGTCCTCGCTTTCATCTTCAGATTTTCCTGGAACTGGAAGAGAACAGGCGGGTGTTACTGAGTCTCTGCTCCTTCTCCCCACAAGCGCCTTCTGTGAGCTGTAGGAAGCACAACAGCCACAGCAAAGCCGATGGAAACAGCTTGGGGGCCCCTTGCTGGACGTCACCCACTTTGGGGGGCAGATCCGAGGATGGGGTGGTCGCTCATGAACAAAACCACCACCTGACACTACATTAAACGAAATATCTTAGTAAAACCTAGCGGCCTTCTTTGGCGCATGTGTTTTAATCCACAGGCACAGAGGACATGCCCTAAGGTCCTTTGATTCCCTAAGCGCTCTGCCTCTCCTCGTGCTGCTGGAAGCCGCCTGCCCAAAGTGTCTGTGTCCTCAGAGCAGAAGAAAGGTTCTTGGGCGGTGATCCTGCCACGTGACTCACCCAGGAGGGGCCAGGGAGGCAGGCAGCACCGAGCGAGGGGACAGTGAGGGTCTTCACAATCCACAGAGCTTTTCTCCACCCCAGCTCACCTGGTTCTTCTTAGTGAGTAAACACAACCCTGGAGGGCTCTAGAGGGGCCCGCACCAGGGGGGATTTAGCAACTCAGAACCCATCAACAGGGACCTGGGGTTCTCATTCAGGGAAGCAGCTGTGAAAGGGTTTAAGCTAAATACCAGGGACTCCCACTGCCTCTTCCCCAGCCATGCTGCACTGTGGGTAAACCTGTTCCCTGGGGGCAGAGGGGGGAGTCCTGCCATGTACCTGGCAAACCCAATAAAAGCCTGCAAAAAGCCCCCGAGGGCTCCAGGATTTGCCATGTTGAGTGACGCAGGAACTCCAGGCCAGCTCTCTCCCTTGGCTCACACACACGCTGAAAGTGCCAGAGGCAAGTGGCTGAAGAAGCGAGATCATGGGGGGTGGGGGATGGAACAAGACGGGGCAGAAACAATAGCAAGGAAACCGAAAGAGGACTCAGAAAGAGCTTGAGAAAGGAGAGGCCCCTGAGAATGAGGGTGGTCCCCCAGACAGGACCCCAGAGGACACCCAGCCTTGGAGGATCAAAGCTGGACAGTGATGAGGGGCAGGAAGAACCTTGTCTGGAGGGCCTCCCATGGCCCTAATGGGGAGCACGTCACCTCCACTTGTTTCCCGTCTCTGTCCCCCAAGTACAGTCCCGTGGACAGAGCTCAGCCTGCAGGCTGTTGGGCTGCAGTCCTGGCTGTGTGACTTACTAGCCAGGTGACATAGTGTGAGTTACTGCTGTCAGAGTCGAGTGGGGTGTTTGTTGCTGCAGGTTCCCGGAGGCCCAGCACAGGACACTATGCCCTGATGGCAAATCCTGAAGGGGTTAGCAGGCAACAGGGCCCTCCTGTGGTTCTCTGTGCCACGAATTGCTTCTTCTCACCCCCAACCATAAGTACAGATGCCCCAGATGTGCCTGCAAGCAGATGTGGGTGCAGGGGTGGCTTGGGGGTGCAGTCTTGGGCATAGCAGCATCCCCACCCTTAGCTGGTGCTAAGAGAACAAAGAGAAACAAGTGGTGAAATACATGGAGGAGGAAATGAGAAGTCTGCCAGAGAAGAAGATCAGGATGGATGAAACCTAGTTAGTGACCAGAAAGACAAGCACAGGAACACGGGCACAAGGAGAGAATGATCGGGCGAGGGGCTGAGGGGCTGAGGGGCTGAGGGTGGAGCTGGGAGGCTGTGATCTGTGCTGGAGGGACTGTAGGTACATAAAGTGTCAGTCTTTTCTGCCCTCCCACCATTAGGACCGAGGATGGAACTCTGTGGTCCTGAGTGCATGCCTGATGGGGGGCACCTGGAGTGGGGTGTGGGCATGGTAGGTGGGTACACCTGGGCTGAGAAACTGGGCTTTTAAGGGCGGTGTCACAGGGACGCCTGCAGGGCGGAAGAGCAGAACCACTAGCAGCGAATGTAAGAGCAAAAGGAAGCAGGAGAGCAGCATCGGCAGAGAAGCAGGGGCCACGAGAGAACTCCGGAGAGCCCAGAAAGAGTGGAAGGCTCGTGGGGGGCTGGGAGGCCTGGCGTGTACCTGGTAAACCCAATAACAGCCTGCAAAAGCCACCGAGGGCTCCAGGACTCTCCTGTACCCATCTGCTTGATCATAAAGACCCTGCTCTGTGCTGCTCCTGCGGCTGCAGGACCTGGGAGGAGTAGCTCGAGGAAACCAACGGTCAAGGAAGCAGCCAAGCCCCGCGCACAGGTCAGTGCTCACTTCTAAGGAAGGGGAGGAAGCTGATGGGGCCTGTTTCGTGGGTGGGGACGCGGCTTAGGTTTGGAGAGGGATGCCCAGGCGCTCAGCGCAGCAGGAGGAGTAGGCGACGGAACCCAGGCCGGACCCACAGTCCAGCTGCTCCTTCGGGACCAGAAAGGCCTCGGGAAGACTCACGTCCCGGCACAGCTCAGGGACACCTGCGCTGGCGCTGCAGCCGCTGACGTGGGTGACACCTGGGCTCGTGCCTCCTTCCCACTTTTCTTGAAAAGACCAAAGGTTTTTGTGTGTGTGTTTTCAGTGCAAAGAACAAAAGACTCAAAATGTTGATTTTAGCTCCTGCAAATCTTTCCTGCGCCCCCTGTGTCTGTAAACCGGCCAATCCCTCCTCCCGAGGATTCCGCGGCAAGCGGAGGGCGCAGCGGCTCGCGGGCTGGGAAGGGCTGTGCCCTGCGGGCTGCGCTCCGCCCGGGGTCCAGGGGCCGCGCCCCCGCCGAGCTTCCACCTTTCGGGCGGGGTGAGTCGGGGCGTCCTGGCCCCCGCGCGGCAGGGGCAGCGGGGCCGGGGTCTGGATCCCGGCCGGGCAGGCGCGACGCGCCGGTGCGCACGAGCGCGGGGGTGGTTTGGGGGTGAACCGAGCGCAGGGCCCCTCGGAGGAGGCGGGGCTCGGGGGATCGCGGAGTCGAGCAAATGGTAGACACTGCTCTTTGTGTGCTGATTCTCTTTCTCTGCAGGCACCGTCCACAAGCCGCCTCGCCTCCGTCTAGCAAAGCGGGGAGCGCACGGCGGGGCCCAGGACGCTCCCGCTGCCCCGGGTGTAACCGGCGCGAAGTCCCGAGATTTGCTGCGTCAGAAACAATAAAACCAGGCGCGGCAGCCCGCGCGGGGCCCTCCTGGGGTCCAGCCTTGGCGGGGAACCGCCCGGCGCTTGTTTAAACAGCGCGGAGGCGCGGACCTGGGGGGCCCCGCGGCGGAGGCGCGGACCTGGGGGGCCCCGCGGCGGAGGCGCGGACCTGGGGGCCCCGCGGCCGAGGCGCGGACCTGGGGGGCCCCGCGGCCGAGGCGCGGACCTGGGGGCCCCGCGGCCGAGGCGCGGACCTGGGGGGCCCCGCGGCGGGCGCGGACCTGGGGGCCCCGCGGCGGAGGCGCTGACCTGGGGGCCCCGCGGCGGAGGCGCGGACCTGGGGGCCCCCGCGGCCAGGCGCTGACCTGGGGGGCCCCGCGGCCGAGGCGCTGACCTGGGGGGCCCCGCGGCGGAGGCGCTGGCCGAGCTCCCTGCACCCGCGGCGCGGAGGGGCGTGGAGAGCGCGAGAGACCGGGGCGCGCGCCTTGGAGGCTTGTCGGGGAGACCGAGCCCCCCGCCCCCCCGCAGGACGAGGACACCCGTTCAAGGTGAAGGCTGGGCATGGTCAGCAACAGGCGGGAGAACGGGGTTGGGGAGGGGGAGGGGGAGAGAGAGAGAGAGAGAGTGTGTGTGTGTGTGTGTGTGTGTGTGTGTTTGTGCGCGCGCGCGGGGTGGGGGGTCTTGCCGGGAGGGCATTGGCGCTTCCCGTTGGGACCCCCGGGGTGGGCAGGACTGGGGTGGGGTGGGAGGGGCTTCTGCCCCTGACCTGAGTGCTGGGCACCCCTGGGCTTTTCCTCTGTGCTGATTCCCAAGGGGGGCGCGTTGGGTCCATGCATTTTCTGCAAGGGGGTTACCCCATCGCAGCTCTCCGCGCTGCTCCCCCGCGCCTCAGGGCCTGGCGGAGGGGAGAGCCGCGGGGGCGCGCCTGGCTTATGGCTTCTTGCTTTTGTGGACCCGCACCACACAGACTTGTGGATGCGCCTGTCTGTGGCCCCAGAGCAGCACCCCTTCCGCTCGGTGCCAAGCTAAAGGCGGGGCGGGGGGGAGGCAGCAAGCATGAGGGTCAGAAGAGGAGAAGGCCAGGAGGACGCTGTCCCAAGGGGGCGGAAGCAAGTCCAGGGCCTGACCTGCAGCAGTAACGCAGGGGGAGAAAGCTCCACCCGCCAGAAATGGGAACACAGCTGGGATTTGCCGGGAAAAAGTTTTCCTCAATTCTTGGAATGAAGGAAGTAGGGGCTTTTCCCCTTGCTTTTTTCTTTTTTTTTTTTTAAGGTTTATTTATTTATGCATACAAGAACTGGGGCGCAGGCCAGAGGTGCGGGGGGTGGGGGAGAGGATTCCCCAGAGACAGAGTGGGGAACAGAACAGGCAGAATGACTGAAACCCACTGCTGAGGGGAGCAGCGGGCGAGGCAGGAGAGGTCTGCTGCGCCCTGTGGGTCAGCTCCCTGGCTGGCAGGGGATGGAACTCCTGCTGCAGAGGCTGTGATAGTTTCATAGGTTGCATCTTAACCCCTTGCGCCACCAGGGAGGCCCTGCTTTTTTTATTCCCCTTACTTAAATACAATGGTCTCGGAAGATGGGAGAGTGACGAGTGACCGACCCTCCCAGTCAAGCTCTGATAAGAAAATCTGCTTCCATGTGACCAATTGTATGGTGGTGCCTGGAAACCAGATCTTGGTGCTGAGCATTATACAGCCTGCACAGATGTTGAATCACAGCCCCCTGAAGCCCACACACCATGGTTTAGACCACACACCTGACCCCGTGGAAGTACAAGATACTGTCAGGGCTTGACTGTGGTCAGTCATTCTCCCACCTTCATTTTTGGGTCTTTATCTAGTTCAGTGCGGAAGGTCCCTCCCCAAGGCAGAAGTGTGTGTGTGTGTGTGTGTGTGTGTGTGTGTGTGTGTGTGTGTGTGTGTGCAAGCGCGCACAGATGATCAGGGCAGGAACTTGGAGCAGAAGCAAGAGGGTAGAGGGAGGGGGCAGAATGGGGGCAGCCTAAGTGGGAGGCCCTGCCTCTCCCTCACATTCCCTTTGGGGGAGTATTTTTCTGATAACTTGTAGAACTTGAACTTTTTTCCTTTTCTTTTTTTAAACAAGCAAAAAAAAAAAAAATCAAGCTCTTTCTGCCTGCTTGTGTCTGTGCAAATGTTTTCTTCTCCCTCCCTTTCTTATAATAAGCCTAATATTTTAAAAATATAAAAAAATAAAATCAATAGTCGCTTATAACTCAAGCAAGGATTTTTTTTTTTTGCTTTATATGTCAACTCTTTTAGAGTAATTTTTTCTTGTCTTTTTACCAGCTTGAAGAAAAATAAGTATGAGTCCTTATGAAAGGAAAATCACAATATTGACCAAGAAAAAATAGCTAGCTCATGTTAATAGATAGGAGGGCTGAAAATACTGAAGTCAAATTGTCACAAATTAATATGTCTTAATATATAAAACAACGTATATATATATTTAACATAGATAATAGAAGTAAATAAAGGATGGAGTCTTATGAATATCACATAGAAAGGGCTCTCTCTCTCTTTTTTAAGATTTATTTTTACACAAGAGCTGGGGTATAGGCCAAAGGCGTGGGAGGGTGAGAGGATCCACCATAGGCAGAGCGGGAAACAGAACAGGCAGACGACTGAAACACACTGCTGAGGGGAGCAGCAGGCGAGACAGGAGAGGTCTGCTGTGCCATGTGGGATCCTCGCTGGCCAGCCAGGATTGAAGCTGCACTGCAGAGGCTGCGGACAGCTTCACAGCACAGTGCTCAACCCACTGCACCACCGGGGAGGCCCAGAAAGGGCTTTTTAAGGCAGAGGTATGGGTAATCTTTGCCCCCCAGGGTATATTTGGCAAAGGTGGGAAATCTTTTTGTTTGTCAAACTGGGAGTTGAGTGCTACTGGTATTCACTAGGTCGAGGTCAAGGATGTTGCTCAATGTTCATGATGTATAAGATGGCACCTCAACAAAGAATTATCCAAGACACCAAACGTCAATTGTACCAAAGTTGATAAATTCTAGTACAAATCATACTGAAAAAGATAAACTGTCTATCCACAATGTAAAGAAAAGGCTCTACACCCAAAACTTCTCAATAGTTAATAGATAAAAACAAAATTAAGAAGACTTTCCAATCACATAACAAAGGGTAAGTTTCCACAGTTGATTAAACAAAGAGGACATGGTCTGGTACAAAAGTAGGCAAATATGAATGAGGGAGTTGCAAAAAAAATACTCTAATGAACAATTTAAAAACTGGTATCTGAGTAAAGCCAGACTAGATACTGCTGCAGTAACTCACCACCCCTTCTATTCTCAGTGTCAGCAAACTATGACCCTAGGGCCAAATGGGCCCAATGCCTATTTTTGTAAATAAAGTTTTATTGAAACGCAGTCAGGCACATTTGTTTATATATTTGTCTCTGGCTATTTTCACACTAGTAGTTGCTACAGAGACTATATGGCCAGCAAAGCCTAAACTGGTTATTAGCTGGCCCTTTTCAGAAAAAGGTTGCCCAGCACTGATTGATTGATTGATTGATTTGTTTGTTCATCTATTTATTTATTTTAAAGTATTTTTAAAAATATTTATTTTTATACAAGAACCAGGGTACAGGTCAGATGCGCGGGAGGGTGAGAAGATTCACCGGAGACAGAGCGGGGAGCAGAACAGGCAGACTGATGAAATACACTGCTGAGGGGAGCAGGGGGTGAGACAGGAGATGTCTGCTCGCCATGTGGTTTGCTCCCTGGCTGGGGATCAAACTCGTGCTGCAGAGGCTCCGGACAGCTTCACAGCGCGGTGCTCATCCACCTGCACCACCAGGGAGGCGCCCCCAGCACTGATTTAGAACAATGGCTCACGTGTCCATCATGTTACTTGTTCATCACAAATTAGATGTGGCTCATGTCATTGATACTTGGGGACAAAGGAGATGTTGGTTGTGCAGTGGAGAGAATGGAAGATGCCCAGGTTCTTAAAGCTCTGGCCTCGCAGTGACCCTCTTACTTCAGCCAAATCAAGCCCTGCAGCCCCTCCTGGGCCCCTAGGCGGGGCTTCCTGACCTTTTGAGACACCCACCCAGGATTTACTAGTGGGCAGGAAAACACCAGGACACCACCCCTCAGGACCCTCCTCCTCATACTGCAAGAGAGCAACCTTTGCCTTTATATTTGACACATGTAAAAGGCAGGTGCAATGTTGGAGGAGTAGAGAAAGGGGCCTCCAATGATATTGAAAGGGGTGAAAATGGCAAAAATCTGATCATCAGGATTAATTTAAAATAGAAAACACATAACCACTTCAGTGAAGAAGCCATGAGGAAGTAATCCTCAGAATGTCTCCACTTGAGTTGGTGCCACTCCTGACATGGGGTCAGTCAGAATCAGAGAGGAGCCCCTGGACTCAGCTGGGGCGGGGGTGGCTCTGCGAGGAAAGAGGGGACGGCAGACCCTGAGACCAGCCACACCATGCCCCGGCGCAGAGTGCCAGCTTTTGGAGGTGCACTGCTTCTCAAGTCACTGAACCCTCCCAGAGAAGATGGTGCTTTCCTCATGCCCCCATCAGGCTTCTCCCAGCTTCTATGCCTTTATATGCCACCTAACCCCGAGCCCGCCCCAGCTGGCCTCAGAAGGCAGGCCTGCCCCCAGCCTTACCTTCTGGGCCAGTCTCTGGAGGATGCAGGTTCCTCTTCTGGGCCGTTGTCACCACCCCTGGCTGCCCAGCTGAGTGGTCCTTCCTGGGAGTTGCCTGATTCCTCACTGGGCGCTTCCCTTGGGTTCCACGGCCAGGTGAGGCTGCCCCTGGGCCACGAGTGATGTGGGAATACTTTTAATTGGGGTCCCAGTGAACTCCCTGCCCCCTATTAATTACTTCACTTCTCACACCCCCAGTTCCCACCATTTCAGGAAATCTCTAGCCCCAACTCACTTTTTCTCTTGCTAGTCACGACTCCTCTCCTTCTTGCATCTTTCTTACTGCCCCAGACTCACACTCCTCCTTCCTGTCCTCTTCCCTTTCCCTGCTCCCCCTTCCACTCCTCGGCCTGCCCTGTGTGTCAAGCCCAATCTAAACTCCACAGCGGGGCCTTCCCGGTGGTGCAGCGGTTGAGCGCTGGGTTGCGAAGCTGCCCGCGGCCTCTGCGGCACCGGTTCGATCCCCGGCTGCTCCCCGGCCACCGGAGGAGGGTCCCACATGGCGCGCAGACCTCTCCTGCAGCCCGCTGCTCCCGCTCTGGCTCTGGTGAATTCTCTCACCCTCCCGCGCTTCTGACTGTACCCAGTGCATGTACGAACAAACAAATAAATAAATAAATAAATAAAACATGCCTCTATAAATAAAAAAAAATAAAAAAAAAAATAAACTCCACAGTGGTGACCCTGCTGGTGAGGACACCACCCGCTGCTTTGTCTTGAAACAAAGTGGGGTGTGTGTGTGGGGGGGGTGGGGTGTGTGTGTTTTGCTTGCTGCCTAGTCCCCAGGACCCAGGACCCAGCCTGGCCCCCTCCTCACACTCCAGTCAGCGTTGCCGCACGCACACACGACAGCAGTGTGTCTCTGAGACGATTACGAGCGTGTTTTTTTACTCTGACCATGGTAATGTGCCAGGCCCCCATTACGAAATAGAGAAGTTTCTGGTGAGAGCAAATGTTGGCCAACACCAAGCACTCACTCCAAATGAGACCACTGAGGTGACATTTCAAGACAAAACGGGTTTTGTCTTCTGTTTTGTTTCAAGACAAGGCGGCGGGTGGTGTCCTCGCCAGCAGGGTCACCGCTGCTGCCCTGTCCAGAGGGCTCCTGCCTGGCCCCTGACCCAGTGGGGAGAGGGAGGGTGTGAGAGGAGAAAGCCTGGGGAGGGAAACAGGGACGAAGCAGGGGAGCCAGGAAAATGCAGTTTCCTCCCTGTGGCTCCCTCTCTGCAGCTGCCTGGGTGTCCAGCACGGAGCCAGGGGGTGGGAGGAGCGGCCTGAGCTGCCACTGCGGCTGCTGAGGCCCAGAGATCCGGGTCTCCTCCAGTTTGGGGCTGGAGCCGGGGTCTGCCCGCACACTGGGGTCTGCCTTGTCTGTTCTTCCTGGCTCTGGTCCTGAGCCGGACACATCCTACCCTGAAAATCGTCTCAGGCCTCCTGTCCAGCCAGCCCACTCCTTCCCGCTGAGAGGAGCGAAGAGCCTGTCTGGGCAGCATGGCTGTGGGGCTCCTTCTTCTGTGAGAAGGGTCATTGGGGGTGGCCTGGCGGTTGGGGTGGGGTGGCACCAGGTGGCCTAGTAGCTGGGGGAGGCCATGCTGAGCGGCCCAGTAGCCGTGCTGAGTGCCCCAGTGAGGGCCCTGGTGCCCAGCGAGGGGGCACTTCCTCTTCCAGCTTACCTCCTGGGGGCCTGTTTTTCGGTCTCCTTTTGGGACTTGACCAGCTATCCTGTTTTCTCCTCTTTTCTGAAAGAGAAAGTAAAATTGTTCTTATGGCTGTAAATATTGATCTACACACTTGAGAGAACAATATATTTATGTCAAACTCTTCCATCTTCCTGACACTTAAGGAAGACCGGAAAGCCGCGGGTGTGAAAAATAGCCCGTCTTACTTGGAAATTAGAAAAGGGTCAGAGGAGTAACAGATGTATGAATCTGTTAACACTTAAAATATACTTTGTTTTTTCCAAATTAACAACAAATGCTTTCAAGACTGGGAAAAAATATGAGTATACTTACAAGCCACAGATATGAAAGATTTTCTTAGCTAAAACTCATGACCAAAAATGATAAAAGATGAACAGATCTGTTTACAAAGTACAATCAAAATGTCCACATTTCAAGAACTGTCCTCAAAATATTAAAATAAAAAAAAGAGGGAAAATTCCAGTATGTAACATTAGGCTAATATCCTTGATAGAGTCAACATGACTTAAAAAAATAAGATAGATAGGGCCTCCCTGGTGGCGCAGCGGTTGAGCGCTGGGTTGCGAAGCTGCCCGCAGCCTCTGCAGCGCTGGTTCGATTCCCGGCTGCTCCCCCGGAGGAGGGCCCCACATGGCGTGCGGACCTCTCCTGCCGCCCGCTGCTCCCCTCAGCAGTGTACTTCATCAGTCTGCCTGCTCTGCTCCCCGCTCTGGCTCTGGGGAATTCTCTCACCCTCCCGCACTTCTGACTGTACCCAGTGCTTGTATAAATAAATAAATAAATCTTAAAAAAAAAAAAAAGGATAGATAAAAGAATAAAAAGTAAAAAATTTAAAGGACAGACTAGAAACAAAAACGACTGGGAAACAAAAAAGTATTCTTTGAAATTGCTCAAGGGAGAGATGTGACATTTACTTAAACAGCCTCTTTGAGCAGGAGTGACAAGAGATGCAGTCAGGTGAAGCCAAGCACCTAGTGCCGGCAGTGAAAGTAACAGAATCACTAAATGCAACCTGCAGACAGTGCCCCTCCTGTCCTCTGGCTGCAATGCAGGTTGCTGGCTGGACCCAACGAAGGGGCTGCCACTCTCGGAGGATAATGGAGCCACAGCCAGGATGAGCCTGGAGTTCTCTGGCTCCTCCACGCAGGAGAGAGAAATAGGGCCTCTCATTTCAGCCACCGTTTTGGAAGGAGGGGCGGTGGGTGGTAGCTAGCAGTCACGCAGAGCAAGCAAATCCTAAGTGTAGAAGTTTTTGTGTTGGAAAAATTTAAATCACCATTTCAGCAAGCACATCTTTTCTGGCTTGCATGTAAACTTTTGTGGCCTGAGGGCATCACACTTTATAAGAACAACATCAAATCCACCTCAACGGAGACCAAACAGTTTCCTTGCACTTACTCTTTTCTGCAGGAGACTGGCCCAAAGACACTTGGCTTCCATGATCCTCGGGATCTACACAGAAATGAAAGAAAAAAGCCATTTATTTAAGGAAGGTAATGGTTGAGTAAACTTCAAATTTCTCCGAAGATGGTTGTATAAATATAATGAAATTATCTGAGACAATTTGAAGCAATGCTGTGTACGCCAGTGTGATCTCAGAGAAACTGTTAAAATTGATAATTTTCTTTAAGGTTGTCACATTTAGTGATTCTTTCTGACAGTCATGAGCTATTTGTCCCTTGAAGGTCACGTGTGGCATGTGGGCGTTCTGTGAATCTGTGACACAGGGACTGAATCCCAGGTAAGGAGAAGAACGTGTAACCTGCCCGCCCCCCATGGGTGGTAGCGGTGTGGGGTCTTCCAGCTGGTGAGGGTATTCAGGCACTGACTTAGCAGCAGACACCCACAACAAGGTGTGGGCCACCAGCTGGGTCACACAATTACACATGTGTTTGATGATGTTTATGATGAGCCGTTCTCTAGTTTTCCCCAAAAGATTATTGATAAACATGGCGATTGGGATTTAGGCAAAGACTTGATCCACGAGATGGGCACCTTCAATAAAGTAGTTATACCACGCACACTCAGCTGCCCCAGTATTGTGCCCAAAGGCACAAACATTGGTTCTTGGTTCCCCATGAAGTTTGAAAATCTTATTCTTTTTATGGAATACATTGTGTACACTTACCCAATATGAGACATGTATATACACACATGTGCACTGGGAGTAGACAGTTGCAACATTAAATATACGGTGTTGGAAAAATTGGACAACTTCATACACAAAATGAAAATGGATCACTGCTTAATACCATACACAGAAATCAACTCAAAATAGATTAAAAACTTAATCATAAGTTTGGAAACCATAAAACCACTGGAAAAAAATAGGTTGTAAAATCCTTGATGGTGGTCTTGGTGATAAATTTTTGGATTTGACACTAAAAGCAAAGAAAGCAAAAGCAAGTTTCTGAACAGCAAAGAAAACCATTAACCAAATAAAAGGGCAATTTGCTGAATGGCAGAACATATTTGAAAACCATATATCTGATAAGGGGTTAATATCTAAAATATTTAAAGAACATTGCAAATCAATAGCAAAAGCACAAATGACTCAATTAAAAATGAGAAAGGATCTGAATAGACTTTTTTTTTTTTAGAAAAGACATACTGATGACTAATGGGTACCTGAATAAGTGTTCAGTATCACTAATCTTTGGGGAAATGAAATCAAATGCACAATGAGGTATTACCTAACATGTAAGAATGGCTATTATCAAAAAGACAAGAAATTCATGAGGATGTGACAAAACAGAATTCTTGTGCACTTTCAGTGGGAATGTAAATTGGTGCAGATTTTATAAAAAAATAACAAGGGGATTCCTCAAAAAATGGAATTACCCTATGATCCTGCAATTCAACTTCTGGGTATTTACCAAAAGGCAAATAAAATACTAATTTGAAAAGATATATGCACTCTCATCTTCACTACAACAATATTTACAATGTCAAAACATGCAAGAAATCTGAATGTCTGGATAGATGAATGGATGAAAAGATGCAGCGGAATATTATTTAGTCATGAAAAATAAAAATAAAATCTTGCTGCTTGTGACAAAATGGATGGACCTTAAAAGCATTTTTCTAAGTGAATTGAAAGAAAGACATACAGCATATGACCTTATTTATACGTGGAATCGAAGGCAACCAAACTAGCAAAAGTGTCAACAAAAAAAAAAATCAAACTCATAAATACAGAGAAGAGATTGGTGATTACCAAAGGTGAGGGCTTGGGGGTAGACAAAAATAGGTGAAAGGGGCCAACAGATACAAACATCCAGGTGTAAGATAGGTGAGTTGTAGGGATGTACTTATGGCATGGTGACAATAATTAATAATATTTTATTGCATATTTCAAAGTTGTTAAGAGAGCAGCTCTGAAAAGCCCCCATCACAGGAAAAACTGTTACTATGTGGTGATGGAAGTTAACTAAATTCATTGTGATCATTTTGAAATATATATAAATGTTAAATCTTTGTCTTGTATATCTGAAACTAATAGAACATGATCTGTCAATTATATCTGAAAGAAACGATTCAGCTGTCTTTGAATCAGCTAGACATCAAAGGGATTTGCAAAAACACACAAGGATGACGCTCATCTCAAATGATTTTTAATTGGAAACTGTATTTTTCATAAAAACTATTACTTATCCTAACAGGTAATTGGTATTATTGTTACCTTTAAATAAATTGATACATAACAATTTTTAATGATAGGTTTAATTTCTAATAAGGTCTCATAAGATATAAAGAACACAAATAAGAGCTCTCTGGGGTCCTCTATTACTTATGAGCTAGACCACAGCCGAGTCAGCTGCAACTGTGAACTCAGCAGATTCTGCATAAACTCTCTTCAGCTGGAACCTGTTCCTCTTTCCTCTCTGTCCCTCTTCTCACACCTGGTCTTTCTTTGCACTTCCTTCCCTTCTACTTATCTACTTAAAAACACCTGCCTCCCACTGAGATACCCACCACTGCGCTCTCAGATGGCAGACCCGCCCCAGCCTTACCTTCTGGGGCACACTCACTCCTGGCCTTCTGGGCCTTTGTCACCACCTGTGGCTTCCCGGCTGAGTCTTCCTTCCTGGGAGTTGCCTGATCCCCAACTCGGAGCTGCTCTTGGATTCCGTGGTCAGGTAAGGCTGCCCCTGGCCAAAAAGTGATGTGTGAATAATATTAATTGGGGACCCCATCCAGCCCCTTCTCTCCCTATCAGTGACCTTCTCTTCAGGTCTCCAGCCCCGGCATTTCAGGAATTTTCTGTAGCCTCACAACTCACTTTTTCTCTTGCCTGTCACGACTCTTCTTCTTGCATCTTTCTTACTCCCCCAGACTCACACTCCTTCCTGTTCTCTCTCCCTGCTTCCCCTTCCACTCCTGGGCCTGCCCCATGTGTCAAGCCCAATCTAAACTCCACAGCACCAGGCGGGGCGGGGGGGTGGGGGGTGGGGTGTGTGTGTTTTGCTCACTGCTGAGCCCCGGGGACCCAGGACCCAGCCTGGCTCCCTCCTCACACTCCAGTCAGCGTTGCCACGCGCACACGACAGCAGTGTGTCTCTGAGACGATTACAAGCATGTTTTTTCACTCTGACCATGGTAATGTGCCAGGGCCTCTATTACAAAATAGAGAAGTTTCTGGTGAGAGCAAACGTTGGCCAACACCAAGCACTCACTCCAAATGAGACCACTGAGGTGACATTTCAAGACAAAACGGGTTTTGTCTTCTGTTTTGTTTCAAGACAAGGCGGCGGGTGGTGTCCTCGCCAGCAGGGTCACTGCTGCCTGCCCTGTCCAGAGGGCTCCTGCCTGGCCCCTGACCCAGTGGGGAGAGGGAGGGTGTGAGAGGAGAAAGCCTGGGGAGGGAAACAGGGACGAAACAGGGGAGCCAGGAAAATGCAGTTTCCTCCCTGTGGCTCCCTCTCTGCAGCTGCCTGGGTGTCCAGCACGGAGCCAGGGGGTGGGAGGAGCGGCCTGAGCTGACAGAGTGGCTGCTGAGGCCCAGAGATCCGGGTCTCCTCCAGTTTGGGGCTGGAGTCGGGGTCTGCCCGCACACTGGGGTCTGCCTTGTCTGTTCTTCCTGGCTCTGGTCCTGAGCCGGACACATCCTACCCTGAAAATCGTCTCAGGCCTCCTGTCCAGCCAGCCCACTCCTTCCCGCTGAGAGGAGCGAAGAGCCTGTCTGGGCAGCATGGCTGTGGGGCTCCTTCTTCTGTGAGAAGGGTCATTGGGGGTGGCCTGGCGGTTGGGGTGGGGTGGCACCAGGTGGCCTAGTAGCTGGGGGAGGCCGTGCTGAGCGGCCTAGTGAGGGCCCTGGTGCCCAGCGAGGGGGCACTTCCTCTTCCAGCTTACCTCCTGGGAGCCTGTTTTTCGGTCTCCTTTTGGGACTTGACCAGATATCCTGTTTTCTCCTCTTTTCTGGAAGAGAAAGTAAAATTGTTTTTATAGCTGTAAATATTGATCTACATGCTCGAGATACCCATTCCTTTAAAGCAAAATTATTTCCCTCTTCTTGTTATTTTGGAGAGGAAAAATAACAATTTTGAAACAAATTATCAAATAGGAGAAACGATTTACAAACTATATATTTGATAATAGTTTGTAAATATCCATAATATATAAATATGTCTTACAATTCAATAGGAGAAAACCAGTAATCCAAGTAAAATTGGGCAAGGAACCTGAATACATGTTTTCAATGAAGATATAAATGGCCTAGACGTACGTGAAGAGGCCACCATCAGAAGTCACCAGGGAACACAAAGTAAAATCACAATGAGCTATCGCCCATGCCTGTTGGAATCGCCATCACGGAGAAGACCAGAGATAAGTGCAGGTGAGAATATAGAGAGAAGGAGACCCTCATACACTGTTGGTGGGATTGTAAAATGGTGTGGCCATGAAGTTAAAAAGTCAAAAAGTTAAAAAGTAGAACTACCACAAGTTTCAGCAGCCCCACCTCCAGGACTATATCCAAATGAAATGAAAACACCAACTTGGAAGACTTCTGTATCTCCATGTTCACAGCAGTCACAAAAGCTATGTATAGTGTTAGTTACAATAGCCAAGATAGGGACTCCACCTAAGTATCCTTCAATGGATGAACAGACAAAGAAGTTGTGACATAGTACAATGAAATGGTAATCAGCTGTAAAAATAAGGAAATCCTACCGTTTAGGCAATATCGACGGATCTTGAAGGCATCAGGCTAAGTGAAATAAGTCAGCCAGAGAGAGATAAATACTGCCTGATCTCATGTGTATGTGGAATCTTAAAAATTAAAAACAAATGCAGACAATAGCAGCAACAAAATTCATAGAAAGATCAGATTGGGGGTAGCCGGAGGGGGTGTGGGGCAGGAAGGACAGGAAAAGGAAAGGGTGGTCAACAAACTTGGTCAACAAACTTCCACCTGGAAGGTGAGTCCTAGGATGTAATGTACAAGGTGATGAGCATTAACTCAGCTGCATGGTATGTAGCAAAGTCGTTAAGAGACTAATGCAGAGTTCTTATCACAAGGAGACAAATTTTGTTCATTTCTTTTTATATTATCTCTTTGACATGATGGATGTTAACTGCACCCATGGTGGAATTCCTTTCACAGCATATGTGAATAAAACCACCTCGAGCTCATCCAGAAATGCATGACCACTATGTCTCAATACAATTTGGAAAAAAGGTGTAGGAAGAAGTCACAGATTTCAAAGATTCTCTGGACAAAAATTCAAGACTGGAAATCACAAAGGTAAAAGATGAACAGCTTAATTTTACAGAGATTGGTTGTTTACAAATTTTTAAACTGCAAAACGTTTAAAGTTTTGAAGTATGGCCATACTTCAAAAAACATCCCCATAATATTAATACAAAACATGGGGGAAAATTCCACTCTGCAACGTGAGAGGAGTGATAGGCTTATTAGGTAAGGCAAAAGGTGAATGGCACACAGGCAAGTGGGCAGAGAGTATGCACTGAAATCTGCAAGAGGTGATGCAGATGAGATTACTGACAAGCCAGCTTGAGCTCACTAATAATGAAAGCCATACATTGTTTGATCGTAAAGATACCAACACTTAAAATGTTTTGTCATAGCTACTGCTGATAAGGATGTAGTTAATGAATTCTCATCAATCCTTAATGGGAATGTAAATTATTTGTTCTGGAGAATAGGTGGTTATGTATATGTATGTGTATATATGTACATATATAATTTTAGATCTCAGACTCTAACCAAGTATAATTTCATATTTAGAAGTTAACTCTGAGGAAATTATTAGATAGGTGTGCATAGATACACACAATGCGATTTCTACTTCCATATAAAAATGATAAGTAACCCAGCTCTCCATCAATAGGTGATTATTTAAACTTACTGTGGTTAGTAATCCAGTAAGTGCTATGCAGTTAAAAGAGAGCAAAATAGATAACATGGACATGAGATACATGTGCTAAAAGCACAATGAAAAAAGTGTTTAGAGAATAGACTGTTTAGACTATTTGGTATAAGCCCATCTATATCATCTGTATCTACATAGTTCATAGATACAGGTATAGATATCTATTATCTCTGCACATGATAAATGTACACTATTTGTAAGGTGTATAAATAGGTGGGGAGGTAGATTGAATAGGAGTTTAACCTCAGATGAATAATTCTCTGTACTCCAGTTTTTCTTAGGAGCCTCATCTCAGAAGGACCAGGCAGGCTATGCAGTGACACACGGCAGGGCATTTTCCTAGCAGAGTGCGCTGCAAGCCAGGGCAGCTACCCTCCCTCCCCCTGGCTTGGCCTCTGCTCCTCCCTCTCCACATCCCCCATCATCAGGGCAAGAGGGCGTGGGGGGCTGCCAGGGCTCCCCTGAGCTTTGACCCAGATGACATCCTGCCCCAGCTCATTGGCCAAAACCAATCTCCTGGACCTGTCTCCTGCAAGGGGCTGGTACATGCATCTTTCTGGGCCCAGGGAGGAAACGGGGGGAGCATCAGCAGTAAGTGGCAGGGCAGTGCAGGGAGGGGACTGTTGGTCGACCTCTTTCTCTAGTTGCCTTTGTTCTTAAAGTAAAGCCCCTGATACTGAGCTGGATCGCTGTCCTCCGAGATAAGTAAAATAAAATAAATAAAAATGACATTTCTTAGCCTCTTTTGCAGTCAGGAGAGCCATGTACCTAGTGCTGGCTATGAAAGGGTAAGAGAATCACTAAATGCAACCTGCTGACAGTGCCCTTCAGTGGAGGAGGGCTCCCCTGCTCTCTGGCTGCAATGCAGGTTGCTGGCTGGACCCCAACAAAGGGGCTGCCACACACTGAGGATGGTGGAGCCACAGCCAGGATGAGCCTGGGGTTCTCTGGCTCCTGAAGCCTCTGCCACACAGGAGAGAGAAATAGGGCCTCTCATTTCAGCCACCATTTTGGAAGGGGTTTGCTTAGTTATCAGGCACACGCAACAAGCAAATCTAAATAGCTGTTGCAAAGTATGGAAAGTTTTCCATAATAAAAAAAAAATTTAAAAAGAAAAAAAAAGTTAAGTCGCCATTTCAATAAGCACATCTTTTTCTGGCTGGCATGCCCACGTCTGTAGCCAGAGGGCATCACAGCCCACATCAAGATCAAATCCACTCTAACAGAGACCAAACGGGCTCCTTACACTTACGCTTTTTCCCAGGAGATTGACCCAAAGGCACTTTACTTTCATGATCCGTGAGGTCTAGAAAGACATAGGGAAGAAACTACTTTAGGAGGAAGTAAGTCTTACGTTCATTTCAGGCAGCCCTGAGCTGGCCAAGCCTCGACAGTGCTGTTCAGTCCCTTCCTTTCTTTTCTTTTCTTCTTTTTTTAATTTTTATTTATTTATTTTTTATTTTATATATTTTTTCATCATTTTCATTTTTGCACAATGTCTGCATTTTCATCTTGGTTATATTCCCCATACACTTCCCACCCCCCTAATTTTGACCCTAATCCCCACCCCCAACCCTGCCCCGTATGTTTCTGGTTCATAGTGGCTGGAGCTGGAAGGGATCCTGCGCAGCAAAATAAGCCAGAAAGAAAAAGAAAAATACCGGATGGTCTCACTCATAGCAGGAATTTAGAAAACCTAAATAAGAGACCTGGAGAAAGACTAATTACAGCACAGTCCCTTCCTTTCTAGCGGGTAATGGCTCCTGAGAGGCTCCCGGCCACCGTGCGAGTCCCCAGCTGGCCATTCCGCATCCCCGGCAGGAGGAAACCAGTGGTCTTTATGCCTCTTGATGTCCTCGTCTAAAATATTCCAGTCAATGATTCCACCTTCTCTAAGGGTTGTTGTGCAAACACAAGGGAACTCTCTGAGACAACTAAAACAGTGTCCCGGAAGTCAGCGCCGGCCTGAAGAGACTTAACAATGACCATTTGTATGTGGGCTGTCACAGGTAGTGATCCTTCCTGACAGTCATGAGCTGTTTGTCCTCGGAGGGTCACACAGGGCAGGTGGGCTTCTGTGAGCCAGCGACACAGGAGCTGAATCCGGGTAAGGAGACCGTCCGGCTCCATCCTCACCAAGGATGTCAGCAGGCTGCGCCCGAGGTGGCAGCAGTGAGAAGTGAATGAACAGTCACTGTTACACCAGCATTACACGCCAGTGGCTTGGGCTCATCATACTAGCATATTTGTATTTACAATGAACTGTTTTCTTTTGATTTTCCCAGGAGGTGAAGTGAGAAACATGGAGATCTGGGGGCGGCGGGTGGGGGAGCTCGATCTGTGACTTGGGCACCTGCAAATGAAGATGCTGAGTGTGTGGATGTGCCGAGAGCGGGACTTTCGGCGGGAGTGCTGGTGCCCGAATGTCAGATCTTGGCAGGTGGGGATCCCACTTTACATAAAAAGCACAAGTCAATATCTACAGAGCATGTACGTGATATGTAATACACACTCGTGGTATTAAAATATCAGGGTCTTTTGTGATTAAGACAAAATGTCAGCGGACTCCTTTGGGTGATGACAACATAAAAAGGTTGAGGAACACTGGCTTATGGTAAGACAGCCCTGACTTTGGGGTCCTGATACCTGCACCCTGGGAGTTGCCATCCTCATCATCACGCGCATGGATCTCGGTGATGTGCTCGGCAGCTCCTGGGCTCTCTTGCCATTCATTTCCAAAGTGTCATCACTGATCTCTCAACAGAGAAAAAGCACTACTTTCAGATCTCAGAATTCCCCCAAAACTTCCAAGGGGAACCTCACGGGACCCAGAAGGACCTTGTACCCTCTGAGTTGATGGCTGCAGGTACCAGGTCTTGCCGCTGCCTCCATGCTGCCCTCCTGGCTGTAGTCACCACTGCATGTTGACTCTCAGTGTGCATCTGTCACTCCCAGGAGAGCCAGGCTGCTCAGCAGGGCCTCCTCGTACAGAAGGTCTTCCCTGGGCTGCAGCCACATGAGCTCAGTGTAAGCTTGCAGGCCCTGAAGATCCAGAAACCCTGCATCTCCAGGGTCCAGACTGTGTTCATGACAAGAGGCTAGTTGCTTTTTGCACAATGTTGACCTTTGCACAGATGGAGCAAGACCCCTGACAGGTAAAACTGCAGGTGCCTTAGTCCAAATCAAAGCAGTGTCCGCAAACCTCGGGAGCAGCCACTGCATTTTGTGCAGTCAGTTACTTACTGCAAAAGAGGCAAGTCACGTCATGTAAGCATGTTGTTGAGGAATATAAGTTATCAATGTTATTAAATTTCTACCCTTGCGTCCACAGCTACTGAAGTCTTTTTGAAAGCCATACAGCAATGTTTTGCGTACAGAAGCGCCATGGCCCTGTCGGTGAGCCACTATTTCCCAGATATTGTGATTTTGAAAAATCTTGCATGAGTGTAAAACCTATTCAAAATGCAATCTGTCATAATAATGCATTTTATAGTAACAGAAAAGTTATGTGATATTGCAAGTTATGAAAATTATATGAAAAGTTCATTGATGTGGCTTCAGATTCTCTAAGTAACCAAGGGGCGACACCGTGTTGATTTCATGTGGTATCAAGAATGAGCGACCACAGGCCTCACCCAGGAGCTTTGACAAGCCCCACCCTTTTCAACTATAGACCCTGTGAGGCTGAGTTTTCTTCACCCCAAACAAGTGGTTGAATGCAGAAGTTGACATAAGAGCCCAATAGACTTTGAATAAATGAGACCTTACACTTCGAGATTTGCAAATATATGAAATGATGGCCCTTCTCCTCACTAATTTTTCTTATTTGGAAATCCACTTCTTTTTCATAAAAATATGCTATTTATGTTAACAAGGAATTGGCTTATTATTTCTTTTAAGGGAATTAATAAATACATAACCTTTTTTAACCATCACTTCTACTTTTTTGTAAGGTATATGTATACGCATATTTACATATATGTGTGTGTATGTATATATATGCATATATACAACATAAAATAGTAAAGGAATCTTAAGATTAAAAAGTTTGAGGGCGCTGGGCTCACAGCTACCTGCGAACACAGATGCTGCTGCCAAAACCTCCTCAGATGGAATTGTTATTTGTTTCCTCTCCCTCCCTCTTCTACAGGTCACAGTCTTTCTCTTCAACCCCTGCCTGCTTCGGAGAGAGCTCCCCACCACTGCACCCTCAGACGGCGGACCCAGCCCCAGCCTTACCTTCTGGGCCAGACGTCGGGGCAGGCTGGCTCGTCGCCTTCTGGGCCGTGGTCACTCTCCATGGCTTCCCAGCAAAGTCATCCTTCCAGGGAGTTTCCTGATCCCCCACTTGGGGCTGCTCTTGGATTTCAGGGTCAGGTGAGGCTGCCCCTGGCAGATCATGTTTGTGATTAGTTTTAATTGGGTGTCCCCATCACCCATTCGTGACCTGCTTCTGTTGCCCAGCCCCCACACTTTGAGGCCTCTGTGCCCCTGTGCTCACTGTTCTAATTTTATTTTATTTTTTAAAGACTTGTTTGTTTATGCATACAAGAACTAGGGTACAGGCCAGAGGTGCAGGGGGTGAGAGGATTCATCAGAGACAAAATGGGGAGCAGAACAGGCAGATCTACTGAAGTACACTGCTGAGAGGAGCAGTGGGCGGCAGGAGAGGTCTGCGCGCCATGTGGGACCCTCCTCCAGTGGAGCAGCCGGGGATCAAACTAGAGCCCCAGCGCTGCAGAGGCTGCGGGCAGCTTCGTAACCCAGCGCTCAACCGCTGCGCCACCGGGGAGGCCCTCCCCACTGCTTTTAGATAACATTGAACTTCCCACCCCTTGACCAATAAGCACGAGCAGCCTCCAGGCTTCAGCCTCCTCTGTACTCTGGCCTTACCTCTTGGGAGGCTTTTTTTATGGTCTCTCTTTCTTGAACTTGACGAAGTACTTCTTTTTCTCTTCTTTCCTAAAAAGAGAGGACACGGACAGCCTTGGATAACCACACACTAGATCTGCCATCTCCTGTGTCAACAAGTTTTAGTTTTCACTTTTGGTCTTCAAGCCATAGAGGCCAGGAGGTCCCTAGCAGTGCTGCTCGTGGAAAAGCCAGTGGGAGAGAGAGTGTTGGACGAGCCAGTCCTCCATGTGGATGTGAAGGTGTGGGGGTGGTGGTGGGTTTTGTGATGCCTGTACAGCCTCGAAACCAGCCTCATGGCCTGCTGGGAGGCCAACGGACTATGATGAGTGAAAGAGGAAGTGACTGTCTCATGGGAGTGGTTAGGACTCAAAGGAGACCATGGGGGCTGGCTGGGCAGGGCTGCAAGGGGTGGCCCCCAGCCTGCCTTCTGCCACGAGCTGGGTGATGGCAGGGAATGTTTCACCTTGTCTGTGGAATGTTCCACAGAAAGCTGTGTCCTCTTGCAGATCTAGCTTTCAGCTATGGGCAGAGATGCGTGCAGCCAGCTCTCTGAGCTGCTGTGGGTGTAGAAGACCTTGATGGCTGCCGCACAGGTGATTCCAGGGGTGCATATTTCAGTGGGCCTCTGTTTTCCTGCTAATTGTCATGAAGGCCTTAGAAGGTGCAGTGGATGGGAAGCGGGTCGCTGTAACCACACCGGAGGTGCTTAGAACACAAACTAATCAGAAGAGCAGAAAACGGCTCCAAGTTCACCCACCTGACAGAGGAGAAAGACACTCCTTACCTTTCTTGGGAGTTTCGGGGGGCACTTCCTGGGGCTCTTTTGAGTCATTTGGTTCAGGAGAATCTTCTCTTATCACTGAAAAAAGTACAGTTCAGTTCAGAGGCTGGCATGGGCTGAAGGTGCGAGGGAGACCAATGGGCGCAGAGCGTGGCGTTGGGATCTGCCGGGCGCAGGCCCTGGCTCTGTCTCGATTTGATCCACAAGTTACTGGGACCAGCGCGACGGTCATAGTGAACCAGGGTGATTGTCCGTGAGGGGCTCAGTTTGGCCCTGCTCGAGAGGGTCCCCTTACTCCTCAGAGGAGAAATACTGGGGTGCCACCCCCCTCAGGGAAAGAGGCTGAGAGCCTGGTGAGCCGGGACCCTGAATCCTGACGGCCACAGGAAGGGGAACGCTTTCGCCATTTGAAAAATACATGTCATTGCTTAGAGGTCTCTGAATGGCGCGTCTTACAACGCTGTGTCTGTGATTCTCTTCACCTTGAGAAACTGTGGAGGAGGCCAGTGTCTCAGATTTCTGGACACAAGGGCTGCCGAGGAAAGCAGAAGCTGGCCTGCGCTGGCTAGTGTGGCTGAGGGCAAATAAAAGCAAAATTCTTCTTTTTTGCTGCATAGGAAGGACAGAGGGCTTGCAGCCAGAGCAAATAAAGGTCCATTTGGGGAAATGTCCACTTCCCCTTTACAACCCTATGAGATTCATCTCAAATTCTGGCTTCTTAAGAGCAGGGAGGCAGTCAGTGGTCATTGGACCTTCTAATTAAGTAGTTGCATTTCAAGTTATGTTCATAAGATCAACTCTTAAAAAGTCAAACAATATAGAAGGGGTGGGGTTGAAAGTGGGAGTCCCCCACAACCGGGCAGGGGCTGGGGGGCCCATCCCCAGCCCATCCCTCGGGCTCAGCACGAGGCCCAAACGTGCTTCCCTTTGCGTCCCCTCCTGGAGAGGCCCCAGAGAGCAGCTATCAAAGTTCCTGCCCAGCTCGGGCTCTTGCCCCTTCTCTGGGGTGCCCACCACAGCACCTCCTGGCAGGTGATGGTCGCCCCTTTGCAGACCCCATGGGGGGTGTTCAGGGCCTGGGTCCAGTGGCTACTAGTGGGGTCCTGTCCTCTATATCGCTGTCCCCTCCCAGTCTACCTCCCTAGACTCATCTCCCTGTGCTCCATTCAGGAACTTGGGGCTCCTGCCTGGTCAGACCCCTGAGGGCTGGGTGAGCAGTCGGAAGCTCGTCTTCTCGAGAGGCACGACAACTAAGGCAAGCGAGGCTGTCCAAGTCAGGCTTACTTGGCACAGGGCCCGAGGGTGCACTGGGCATCTCTGGAGCATCTTCTTCATCTTTCCCTTGGGGGGCTGGTTTGTCACTGGACACTGAACAGAGGGAGAAAAGGCATTTTAGATCCTAGGACCAGCAAACAGGAACCAGAGGGCAGAGGAGCGAGAACAATCTATTCTATCCAGGGAATCAGACGGTGCCAACCAAAGTCTAGTGAGGGTAGGACAGCGGGAGTGCAAGTCATGGCCTTTCCATTGCTGCTTCAGTGATGGTCTGCGGTGGTGGCTTTTATCTTTAGAAATTCTAGAAAACGAACCCTTCCGCTGTTATTAACTTCTGGATCATGTCAACCGCTCTGGTTCGGATTAGCATCATTTGGACCCGAAGGACCCTTCTCCTAGCGCTGGAGGCTCAGCTGCACGGTTCCTCTTGGGCAGCGCCCCGTTGGCAGCGCCCAGTTATTTGCCAGGTTATATTGCCTGTGATCAGCCTCCTTCCGTGACGGCTCAGGGGACACAGCATTAGAAGTTACATCAGGTCCAGCTGACTTTGAGATACTGGGTCATCTGTTTTAATGACTGCAAGGACAATCCTCTTAGCATCCAACCACATAGACATGAATATGGTTGACAGGGAAGGCCGGGCGCGGGCGGGCGAGCTGCACCAGCCCTGTCGGCTCGGGTCCGCGTGCTACCATGGTCGGGCAGGGACACAGGACATCTCAGCCGCAGCTGGCCCTGGTGGCCTTCCTGACGCGCGGTCCCGCCCCCGTCACTGCATGCGTCCCCCTCTGCTTTTCCTTTGTCACCCCAGTTCTTTCCCCCTGGTTCCTGCCTCAGCCCTCTGGCTGGGCGGCTCCTTGAGCTAGGCGGGTGAGCCCACGAAACACTACCTTGCACAGAGTCAGGGCGGGCGCCGGGCTTCTCTGGCGAGTCTCCATCATTTACTTGGGACGCGAGGTTGTCTTCGGTCATGGAAGAGAGGAAGCAAAATCATTACAGGGGTCAGGGCAGTGAGTGAAGGGTGAGAACCCCAGGGCAGGCTGAGCACCAGGTCCAAGGGTGGAGCGTTGGACGGTCCGGGCTGGGAAGCAGGTGTTCTGGGCTTTAGGACTAAACCAGGCCCCTGTGACCCCTAATCCTTCTGGTAGGGGTTGTATGTGGCAAGTGGTATGTGGAAAACAGATCAAGAAAAATACGAGACCCCGGCCTTCAAGACCTGGTCACCACACAAGGCCAGGGGTGCCAGGCGGAGGGCATCCCTGTTTCTCACCTGGGGTGAGCCTCCCTTCCCCGATGAGTCGGGGGGTGGCCGCTGCGGGGCTGGGCTGTTCACCCAGGATCTCAGTGCTGTGCGGTGTGGATCCTTCAGGCTTAGATCCTTCGGGCTTAGTGACGGCGGGCGGCTGGGGTGGGAGGCTCGATGAGGGCTGCTGGGGTGTGGGCAGCGGCAGCAGCCTGGGCTGGTGGGAGCTCCATTCTGCTGTGTCATCCAGGTCGAGGACGGCTGCGAGTCTGCTCCAGCCTCCGTGGGAATTGACAACTGGGATTGGTGAAGGAACTCAGGTCAGACCCCGGAGCCTCTGAATTCTTTGGCAAAGGGCATTTCCTTATACGTGATCCCCAAGAGTGTAAGGGGCGCCACATCATTCTTTCTCCCCCAGGTGCATAGAACCAGCTCACCCTTAGCATCCTCGGTGTGGCCCCTGCCTAGTTTATTTACCTGATTTGGGCATTCAGTGCTTTAAAAATGGCACCAGACCTCGGGTCTAATACCAAAGTGACTTCACACATAAAGTTGAGTTTGACTTACCCCTGGGGATCTAATTTTCTTTCATTTGGGTGTCAGAATTAAAGCAACTATCTACAGAGCTGTCATGGTAATAGTGGTCTCTGTTTTCCAAGAAGAACACATTACATCTCTCTGGGGCAAATAAGAGAACATATTAATTCCCTCCCATGGTTTATATTCTGCTTTCTGCTTATTTCTGCAGATGCAGCTTCCATACCTCAAACCCTCTAATCTGGCCACTGCAACTTTCCTCCCACCCCCGAATCCCCATGCAGAGCTTGGGCCTTACCTTTCCAGAGAGAGAGTGGGCAGTGGAAGCGCAGATTCCACAGGGTAGAGCCAACCCAAGCCTAGCACAGCTACCTGCCTCCCTTCTATAGCCCAAATGTTATCCAAGAAGCCGGTACCATCATGGAAGCTCTTAAAAGTCCTCTTCAGTTTGGGGTACTCATACAGGTGAAGGGGTCGGAACAGCGTCTTCAGAAGTGACAGGTTAAATGTCTTCTCCAGTTTGGCGAGAATGTTGTAGATCACTTGGGACACAGGGACCAGATTTCTATAGGCTTCCAGAGATTCCTTTAAAAAAGGAACAAAGGATCATTACAAATGATTATAAAATGGAATGGAGGCTTATTACTATTATGATACATTGTGGTTTTCAAGGTTGTTAGAAAGCTATTTTGGTCTTTTAAGAAGCAATTTGCATAAAATGTCTAGTCAAATTTCCTGAAGTGTGTTTGCTTTTGAAACTTCACATTCACTGGGACGTGGAATTCCAGTAGTCACAGCAGTAAATATTTTAGGCTTCTTTAAAAAAAATCTGTCTGCTTTATGAGGGTTTTTTTTTTTTTTTTTTTTTGCATAGAAGAACTGGTGTGTAGGCCAGAGGTATGGGGGTTGGGGGGGGTGAGAAGATTCACCAGAGACAAATGGGGAGCAGGCGGATCTACTGAAATACACTGCTGAGGGGAGCAGCAGTCAAGACAGGAGAGGTCTGCTGCCCCATGTGGGTCAGCTCCCTGGCTGGGGATCAAGCTCAGGCAGTAGCAGTGACAGTGCTGATACTTAACCCTTAGGCCACCAGGGAGGCCCTGTGACCGTTGTTTTTAGGTGTCTTTGAGGGAAGAGAGAAATTTTAAGGGAAGAGTGGAGTCAAAGGCTGCTACTGTGTAATTCATCCTGTCAGGCAATAGATCTAGAGGTGGGCCACAATTGGCAATTGTGATGATTGTGCAATAACTTCTGCTCGCTCTCTTTATTTTGGACTTGAGATGTCCTGAACAGGGAAACCATCAGAAGAGCTCCTCTTGCTGAGAGGCGGCCAAAAGGAGAAACATGCTAGCAGAGAATTGATGCAGAATACTTACTGGGCACCCCCTGAGGGTGGTGAGCCCCTCCTTGTGTGCATAACAATGGGGAAGGTCAGCATGGTGCTCCCCAACCAGAGGAGGGGCACTGTTAGGTGGAGAAGGTGGGCATTAAGTAATAAGCACAACTGAGATGAATACTTGGTGACTGCTGAGAGGTGTTATAAAGAGGAAGCATAGGTTACTGTGAGAGAGCAGTGAGGGGGTCTTAATAGATGAGTAGGTCAGGGGGTCCCCAGAGGGGTCACTTCTGGCTGTGATCTGAAATGGAGCTGAAGTCAGCCAGGTCCAGGCTGGAGAAGGTGCTTTATCACTCTGGCACTTCCCTGGGCCTGAGCTCTGGAAAAGCTGTGAAATCAGTGCCATTTTTATCCACATAGCACATCTCCCAATGTCTACCTTGCTTCACATTGAATTATCTGTGGGTGACAAGCTCTTAGGAACTAGGATGGTGCCCTTAGTGGGTTAAGCAGTTCCTTCTTCCCCCCAAAGATATGTCCACTTGAAATCTGTGAATGTGACCTTACTTGGGAAAAGGGTCTTTGTAGATACAATTAAGATAAAAATCTTGTGATGAGGTCATCCAGGATTAGGATGGACCCTTGGCCTAATGAAGTGTCCTTATAAAAGAAGAGAAAGAAAATACAAAGAAGGAGCAGGCAATGTTGGGGTGGAAACAATGATTGAAGTGATGCTTCCTACAGGTCCAGGAATATGAAGACTGATGGCACCACCAGAAAATAGAAAAATGTCTGACATCGAATTCTCCCTCAGAACCTCTAGAAAGAACCAACCCTACCAACAACTTAATTTTAGACTTCTGGGCTCCAGAACTATGAGAGAATGTTTCTGTAGTTTGAAGCCACCTGGATTGTGGTCATTGTTATGGCAGCTCCTGCCACACACACACACACACCCCCCACCTCTGATCATGAACATTTGGGACTGACCTTTAACCTCTAGGAGTCCTGTGGGTTTGGGTTTGATTGTAGCCTCAATAATCAGGATTCTTGGTGGGGGCTGGGCTGCCATGGGAAAGCAGCCAACACAACTCACCCTGTAGAAGTTCTCAGTGATGAAGGCATTGTCTAGCAGGCTTTCAACAAAGGGGAATGGCTTGTGTATGGCATAGGCAATCTCCAGCTTCTTGCATCTGAAGTGCTGGTGAAGAGCCTCTTCCAAGACCCTGGTCATGGTGAAGATCCTATGGAAGGGGCATGAGAAGAAAGAAAAGCAAAGACTCTGAGGAGCTTGGGGAACTGCTCTCTGCAGGCAATAGTCTTCTAGAAACCGGTATTTTGGCCCCAAGAGTGTCTGCTAGCAAAACACTGTGTGTTTAAGTGATTCATGGATGCAGGAAGCAATGGTAACATCCAGCTATAAAGGGGAATGAAAGTGACCAACAATATGGCGCTGAATCTTCAAGAGGCTGCTAGTAATCATCAGGTGGATATTAAAAAGAGTTAACATTGACTGAGAGCTTCCTACATGCCAGATTTTGGTGTCTCAACCTCATCTCTCACAACACACTGCTGCTTTTTCTGTGCCCACGCAACATTGTAAAAAGTGAACATTTACAGGGCATGAGAAAATACCAGAAGTTATATTAGATGAGAATTTACCTATGGCATTCTTGGCAAATTATCTGGGGAAGGAAAGCACTAATAGATAATTCAACCACCTAGAGATTTGAAACAACGAAGCAAACATAAGTCCAATTTTTCCAACTTCAGTTTGTGTCGAAGACAGAATTGAGCTGTGATTCATGATGAATTTGTAGGGATTTAATCCCAAGGGCAGCTCGAACGTCCCTGTCTCTTCTCACTCCTGAATACTATAAGTTTGACCGAAAAGATAAATATATGAAGTATTAAATACACGTGTACAATATATTGATATTGTGTGATTGCATGTACATGAATGTATATATAATATATATGTGAAAAGAATAATCCAGAAAAGATCCCACAGAGGGTCTATAATCATGAAGAAATCCTGAGACAGCAGATGGGAGGGGAATCTATATCCGCAAGACGCCTGGGGAGGGTGCAGCATGCATGAGCACACAGCCAGGATGAACACCTGCTAAGAAGAGGAACGGGCTCTGCGGCCACATTCAGACTATTTTCAGAGCAGAACATTGCTATGGTCCTCATTCTTCACCTGTTAGGACTGACAAGGATGAAGTGAGGCAGATGAAGTAAGTCACTACTCCAGGCATTTGGCAAAGCAGAGCTCATCTGACCCAAACCCCATTTCCACCGGTGCATGATATTGCACCTCATATAGGACTGTCTGATTTTTATCATCTTCCTGCCTGTTTTGGGGGAGGGGACTCTTCTTATGAGCATTGCAGTGTATGCCTTAAAGGCAAACATCCACATAGAACAAAAAGCAGAATATATAAACAAGCAATTAAGTCAAATGGGCAATCAGTATATAAAAAACTGGTAACTCGGTATTAGAACAGTATAAATAGGGCCTCTCAGGTGGCGCAGCGGTTGAGCGCTGGGTTGCGAAGCTGCCCGCGGCCTCTGCGGCGCCGGTTCGATCCCCGGCTGCTCCCCGGCCACCGGAGGAGGGTCCCACATGGCGCGCAGACCTCTCCTGCTGCCCGCTGCTCCCCTCAGCAGTGTACTTCGTCAGTCTGCCTGCTCTGCTCCCCGCTCTGGCTCTGGTGAATTCTCTCACCCTCCTGCCTTCTGACTGTACCCAGTGCATGTATAAAACAAACAAACAAACAAATAGATAAATAAGACATGCCTCTAGAAAATTAAAAAAAAAAAAAAAAGAACAGTATAAATAAAGACATGTTTGCCTATCAGGTTGGCTAAGATAGAAAATAATCATCATCATCCTTGAGTTTCAAATTCTGCAAGGGATTCATTTCAATGCAATAATCACAAATGGGCTGAAAGAAAAAAATCTAAAAAGTTCAAGATTCCCTGGTGAAGCTATTAAATGTACCTCTTGTTCTCTCTTTTCTACCAGCTCCCCAACCACCCGTAGCCATTTGCATGATGGACAATGAGTGAGTTGGTAGCTGGTTTGGGACAGAAGCAGACTCGGGCGTGGACGAGGTGGGTGGAGAGCAAATCTCATCTCCCCAAAATGACAGGGTAGACTTTAGGGGAAACGAGTCAAGATGTGTGTCTCCTTCCCCACCCCCAAACCCCTGATCTGTCCTTTTTTTAAACTGTCCTCTATGAAATTCCCGACACTCCCTGTATTTCTTTGGAAAACACTATGTTAGAAAGAGAGACGCTCACAGTTTAAATAGTTGAGTTTCCACCCACTGCTGCCAGGAAATCAACTCCACAAGCCTAATCCCCCAAAAGGAAGAATCAAGTCATGGGATGAAGACGCACCTGGGTGCTGCTCCTGCCCCTTTCCAGGTCCCGTGATCAGCGGGGATGTCTCCCTCGGCGAGGCAGGGAGTAGCTGTACATGAGCAGGAAGCCAGTGCCTCACCACGGCCAGTGGAGCCCAGCTTCAGAGGAAAGGAAAGTGAAAGTAACTGGAGCTTCAGGGCAGGAAGCTGAGGGCAGGGCCAGGCCTGCTATCTGACTAAGTGCATTTGGGGAGGTTGGGGGGGCTTGCTGCCAATTAGGAGCAGGCTGGAGAGGGAAGCACAGAGCGGGAGAGGACACAGGGGTCCAGCCCCAGTGTCCACAGAACTGGGAAGCCAGCATCCGCCCGCTCCCTCCCTAGCCCGGATGGTCTTCCTTTTGGACACTCTGCAGTGATGAAAATGTTCCAAAATTACATCGTGATGGTGGCTGCAGTTACCCAACTGGATAAATTTAACAAAAATCATCCCTTCTTCTAGAAAGCAAACAAAAAACTAAAGGGGTGATGATGAGGTAGCTCAGAAATACCTATGATTTGTCCAGACAAATTTGAAAATAAAATAAGGAAATGGAAATAAGCGGGAACCTGAATATAAACTGAAATCTCACCAAAGTAGGCACACCTGCAGGCAGGAAAGGGGCCGGGAGCCAGGCAGGCAGTTGGTCTAAGGCAGAGGCAGAAGCAGGAGAAGATTCTAGAACAACCACGATAGCAGGGAAGGTGGAGAATGCCTCTTTTAAAGAATTCTCATGAACACTGGCACATAGGGGCTGTGAGAAATCCCCAAATATGGAAATCTGTTTAACCTTAATAAAACCCAAGGTTCCTCTGACCAGGACACCCTCATTCAAACCCACAGAAAAATAGTGAGAAGCAGTTCTAGGGCCAAAAAAGGCTTGACTCAAGGCAGATCTGCATCAGCGAGACGGCTCCTGGGCTTCCTGTGGAAAAGAAAGCCAGAGTGGGAACAGCATGTCAACTCAGCCAGAAATCAATAAAGTAGAAAATGAGGTGATTAAAGACTCAGGTGCTTCTAGCGAGGGACTGGCAGTGACCCCTCAGTGATGGCGGGAAACGGACAGTCACCTCACACATGTGCCACGTTCTAGGGCCCCTGAGGCGCCATGTAGTTCTTTTTAGCTTCACTTAATTGAGGTATAAAACACATTCATCAGAAGTGTACAGTTGAATGAATATTTTAATTTCTTTTTAATTATTTAATTATTTTCTTACTTCTTTATTAATTTTGGGATAATATCTGTGGTTTCCTTCCAGTGCCCTCTCTGTAGTTCTCCTGTTCTAGAACTTTGCCAAGGGTCTGCTTGATATTTCAGGATCTCACTCCATGACTCTGATGAGTTTTAACAACTGGAGTCACAGCCACGATGAAGACAGACACCACTTCCGTCACCCTGGAAAGCCCCAGTGGGTCCTCCCAGCCCCAGCACCAGGCTGCCACCAAAGTGCTGCCTAGTACTTTGCCCAGATGTTTCCTAAATGGAAACGTGCAATATGTGCCTCTTGACAAATGACATCTTTTGCACATCACAGTGAGCAAAGGGCGAGACTTCGGAAACACTCAACTTTGCTCTGGCTTCCTGGTCCTCACCTGCCTCGACTCACAGGTCTGATGCTCTGACTCCCGCTCCCCTCTCTCTGAGGCAGTGTCTGCCTGGGTTTCTGGTCCTCGGGTTTCGTTGGTTTTATTTGTTCTTTGCTCTCATTTTTTGTGTTTCTCAGCTTCACGTTGACATAGTGTGTTTTGGTAAGTTACTTCAAATCCTTTGCGGAATGAGGGCCATGTAAGTGAAAATTTTATGTGCAAACGTAAATGTAACATGCTTATTAGCTGGATCTCACTGGCCTTTAAATTCTAGGTGACCCTGTTCCAAACCCTTTCCCCATTCAATGAGAAGCCTGTCATCACCCTCCTTGAGATTTCAGAGACTAGCTGAAGCTCAGTTTTTCCCCAATTGCTCCTGCCGGCATTTGCAGAGCGCTCACGTATTCAAGAAAATTTTGAAAATTCAAGAAAACTCAAGAAAAATTGCAGAAGTTGGTTTGGTTCCTTCTGGCCTTTCCAAAAATTTGAAGACCATCCTCCTTGCTTTGCAATGCGTTGGGTTGTCTCCAGCCTGTGTCTGAACACTGGGCTTAGCCGGTTCAGTGCAGATTAACAGCCACACCCAGCCAGCCCAGAGCCGCAAAAGTTCCAGAATGGCTGGCACTTCCTCTTCCTTTGCATGTCGCCTCATCAACGGACCAGTGTGGAGGTCACTTCCTCCCATGTAAACTCTGCCACTTCTAAACAACTTTGATTGGTTTGAGTCAAATGGACTTTCGGGTTGAGTCAAACATTGCCCTCTTTCTTTTGCATGAGGAACACCCTGACTTGACCCGGCTCCTCCTCCCTGGGTCTGAGACCCGCCTTGGAGATTGGGTGATGGGTCAGGCACACAGCTTGGGGATTTCACTTTTCCTTTACCCTGTGACAGGGTGCCAGGCCCCAGGGCTGGATGAATTCTAGCTTCTCTTCAGAGCGCTGGCAAATCACCGAGGAAGCATAGACCTTACTTGGCCCAGTGGGGCCAGCAGAAGACAGCGGTGGACCCCACAGCTTGGCTGCAGCTCTTCTTGTCCTTCATCTCTTTTAAGGTCGGTGTCTCTGTTATTTCTGGGTACCCAGCCTCATCCCACAGGTACACAACAGAACAGGGTTATATATAAATAATGAAGGAATCAGATTTTTTAAATTGCAGGGGATTAGCCCGGGGGTGGCTTCACGCATCATCACATGTCATTGCCCCACATGTGAATGTTGAAACTCTGGGGCCCTGCCGAGGCCTGGGTACAGGAGTGGGAGATTCCCCCACCCTCTAAATCTTCCATGTATCCCACTCTCCTTCCTCTTTCCCTATCCCCCCAAAAACTTTGTCCAGGAAAGATCTTTTTAGAAAAATGAGCAAATGCCTATTGAATCAAATGCCTATTGGCAACTTTTTCCCATTCCTGGGCCGTTAGTTGGCTACCAGTTTGGCCAGAGCCAATCTGTAGTGGCGGGCTCAGCAGCAGACTCAGAGTCTCTGAACCCCTGATCAGAGGAAGTGAAACTACAGGGGTTGAATGGGCAGGCACAGGCAGGTGGGGAGAGTCCCTGTTGTTAGTGTTTCAGTATGTGGGTGGTGCACATCTGGCTAGAGAAGGAGGAAATTTACCTTTTAAAAATATAAGACAAGTATGCCAACATATTTTTGCTGATAAAAATTTAGGCAGCGTAAGTGTGCATGGACACACCTTCAACTCAGATTTCTGGTGCTGGCTGGTCCCCAAGAAGGCGTTGGCCTTGCTAGGGCAACAGCCAGGTGGCACCTGGGCACCCAGCCCACTGCTCCTGGCCACAGGAGATGGGAAGATGAACCCATGGAGCTCTAAGTTCAGCCAGTCCTTGGTCTTCAAGCAGGAAAAGGAAGGTACTGAGAAGTGGCAGACTTCATGAAAGGGGTTAGCAGGTGCTGCCTCTGCTCCTATTTTCTGATTTACCAAAAATCAGTTTGGGGTTTCATTAGTTTTCTCTCATTTTTCCTGTTTTCAGTTTCATAGATCTCTACCCTCGTTTTCATAATTTCTTTCCTTCTGCTTGCATAAGACTTAACATTTCTCTCTTTTTTCTAGTTTTCTTAGGTGGAAGCTTAGGTTATTGATTTAGATCTTTTTTCAAATATATGTATTTAAAATTGTTCGTGTCCCGCTAAGCACTGCTTTTGCTGAATTCCATACACTTTTGGAAATTGTGTTTTTATTTTCATTTGGTTCAAAATACTTTAAAATTTCACTTGCGATTTCTTCTTTGTTGCTAAACTGTGCAGTTTAATTTCCAAGTGTTTTAGGACTTTCCAACTATCTTTTTGCTATTTGTACTTTAATTCCATTATGGTCTGAGAACATATTTTTCAAATAACATATCCTTTTAAATTTGTTACAATATGTTTTATAGTGCAAAATAGAGCATATTTTGGTATATAGTCCACGTGACCTTGAAGGATATGTATATTTTGTTGTGAACAAAATAGACTATAAAAGTCAATTCGATTAAATTGATTGATGATGCTATTCAGATTGTTACAGGGCAGCCCCGATACAAAACGGGGTGCCTGACTGTGGGTCCTCACCCGCGCACTTGAAAGGACTTATCAATACTCCACTGCAGGCACACGCGAAAGGTTAATAAAAGGTTTATTCACAAGGGAAGGGCAAGTGAGGAAATGTACAGCTCAGGGAGAAAAGCGGGAGACAGAGTTTAACTGCGTCCTACCCAATCTGCTGATCAGGAATCCCAAATGGCGCTCTGAGAGCTGGCCGCGAGCCAGGGGCCGTGAAGCCAGGAGGCGAGCGACAGAGCGAGACCCCAAGGCCCACGTGTCTGGGTTTTAATACCAAGCCTGGCTGATTAACCCCACCCTCAGGTCCCAGCCACCCTCCCTTTAGTGGTGACGGGATTTGTCTTTCCCAATGTCCTGATGGCTTCTGGAGTGGGGGTGGCATCCACAAAGCCTGCATGGGATTAGCTCAGGACATCCTTTCCCCCTAACAAGATCACTGTCTTCTTACTGATATTTTTGCCTGATTGATCTATCAACTACTAAAATAGGGTATTGAGTCCCCAGTGATATTAGTGGATTTGTCTATTTCTCCTTATATTTCTATCAATTTTGTTTCTTTGAAGCTCACTTGCTAACTATATACATATGAAGGATTTCTCTGTTTCCCCGGAGAAATTGACCACTTTAGCATTATATAGTCCCCCTCCGCCTCCCTGACAGTTTTCCCTGTGCTGAAGTCTGCTTTGTCTGAAATTAATGTGGCTACTAGAGTTTTCCTTCAAGTAATGTTGGCATTATATATTTTTCTCCATTCCTTTACTTTTAACCTGTGCTTCTATGTTTAAAGTGGGTTTATTATAGATAGCATATAATTGGATGGTTTTTAGAAATTCTCTCAGTCTCTCTTAATTGGCATATTTAGAACATTCACAATTAAAATGATTATTCATGTAGTTGGATTAACAACTACCATGTTTGTAACTATTTTCTATTCATTGTACTTGTCTTTGTTACTATTTTTTCTCTTTCTTTTCTACCCTTTTCATGAGCATTTTGTGATTCCATTTTATCTTCTCTCTCAGCTTATCAATTATACCTCTTTTAAAACAATTTTAGTGGTTTCCCTAGAGGTTACAATATATTTTTACAGCTGGTTATACTCATTTTGTTATTTTTAAAATTACTTTTTTTTTTACCTTGCTTACTACCACTTTATTTTTTCATATCTGCTTTAAGTTTTATCATGGAAAATGATGTATAACAAAATGTCATAAATATGTTTCCCCTGTCTTTGCAAGCATTGCTATCAGTCAGGTTGTTTATCTATACACTTTAATCATATGTTTTTATTATTACTTTGAGCCAGTAGTTATCTCTTATATAAATTTAGAATAGAAAAAAAAATGATAGCTACATGTGTTCCTTCCCTGATGTTTTTCCTTTCTTTATGTAAGTCTGAATTTCTGACTTAACATCAATTTTCTTCTGCAGGGTAAGTCTTCTTGTAATTAATTATTTTAGCTTTTGTTTGAGAAAATCTATTTCTCCTTCTCTTTGAAAGTTACTTTCAAAAGATATAAAAGTTTGCACTGGTGTTTTTTCTTTTATTGCTTTATATATTTTGATATTTACTAGCATGGTTTCTTTTCACTTTCTTTACTAGATTTACTAATAAATCTTTTCTGGCATGGTTTCTGACGAGAAACTGTTAGGGGGAAATGATGTCCTGAGCTCCTTCCATGCAGGCTCTGTGGACTCCACCCCCACTCCAGACCGAAGCCATCAGGACATTGGGAAAGACAAATCCCGTCACCACCCAAGGGAGGGTGGCTGGGACCTGAGGGTGGAGTTAAGCAGCCAGGGTTGGTATAAAAACCAGACACGTGGGCCTTGGGCTCTCTGACACTGTCGCTCTCCTCCTGGCTTCACGGCTCCTGGCTCGCGGCCAGCTCTCAGAGCACCATTTTGGGATTCCTGATCGGCGGATCGGGTAGGACGCATTTAAAACTTTGTCTTCCGCTTTTCTCCCTGAGTTGTACATTTCCTCATTTCCCCTTCCCTTGAAAATAAACCTTTTATGAACCTTTCGTGTGTGCCTGCAGTGGAGTGAGGACCCACAGTCAGGCAACCCCTTCTGTATCGGGGCTGCCCTATAACAAAACCTGTTGTAGCTTTTATTTTTATCTCTCCAAGGGTAAATTTCTCTCACATCCTCTGTCCTACTTTGGCTACTTTCAACAGCTTTTTGTCTTTTCCGCAGTTTGAATAGGAAATGACTTCATGTAAATATTTGGTATCTATCCAGTTTGGCATTTGTTGAGATTCCTGAGTCTGTGGTTTGTTGTCTGTTATTAATTGCTGAAGATTCTTGACTGTTATTATTTACTTCCAATAGTTCTCCTGTTTTCTTTTCTCATTCTTCTCTTTCTGATATCTTTGGAGACTGCTCCAGCCTGCTTGGATATTGTGTTCTGTTGTTTTATTTCCTTGTCCTTCTTTGTGCCCCTCTCTTTGAATTGTGATTTGCTTTTTAGCTGTTTCCTTCTCTCCTACCCCATTTAGATGACACAGGAAGGCCAGAGGGTGGATTTTAGTAACTGCCCTTCCTCGGATTAGCTAAAACTTGGGTAAAGTATTTTTCTCCTGGGGCGTAGACCTTTGGAGCTTATTATGGGGAATGCACTGGGCTGTTTCAGAAAGCCTTCTTCTCCACCCTACTCTCATGTTCGCAAGAAGCACAAGGGGTTTTTTCCTGACTCATCACTGTATCTGATGGGTTTCTTGAAACTAAAACCCACAATAGGTTGGAGTCCATTCTAAGACTGACTTCATGTGCATCTACACTAAGCCTCCAGCAAGTCATCAAACTTACCACTGAGGCATTCCTGCTAGCCTCTGGCTCTAGTGGCACCTGTTCCAGGTAGCTGATCTCCATTTAATCAGATGGACTTTAAAACCTATGAACTTCACTGGGAAAATCCCAAATGCCTAAAGGTGAAACCCTTTTATCTGAGTTAGTAATATTTTCTCAAGAAACCTCTAGCTTCTGGCCTGGATGCAAATGTTCTGTGTGGGCTACAAGACACCCTTGGGCTCTTCTCTGATCCCTGGGCATCCGAGTCAACAGCAGCGATTTGCACTCTGACCAGTCTTTCTCTTTGAGACTTTGGTTTAAATTTCTCATCTGTTCTAGTTCTCCATGTCATTGCTACTTTAATCCCTTTACTCTCTAGTGACAGGGGGAAAAATATACTTTCAACCAAATATTAACCGGAATCCAATCCTTTTTGTAAGAAATTCAATAAGGAATGAGTTTTAGTCATCTTGATGCATATTCAGAGAATGGGAAGCTCCAGTGATCCTCATAAAAAAGAAAATCCTACAAGTCTTTATACCTTTAAGAAATGCAGAGAAGTTTTACAAGACATTGTCAATGGAAGAAATGATTTGTCCAGTAAGAATCAGAATTACAAAGCTGTTTGAGTGTAGGAATTACTTTTCCCAGGCAGGGTCATGATGAAACATAGAAATCTGGTCTGCATGTCTGTAACACTGCCACAGACTCGTGTAGTTACAGAATGTGCCCTAATTGTGGATATTCACACAGGATCTCTATATTAATATTCTTGTGACTATTGCTGGCTGAAATCTTGCCAAGGCATCTTTGAACTGATTTTATGATGGAAAAGGCCATTCCTGTCTCTGCAGTTACAGATGAGAGAAATCTATCTCTTTTACATATTTCTGAGATTTCTACTTGTTACCAGAAAAGCTTATCATTATTTATTGCTTTCTCTGTACCCTTAAAAAAATCTGTATCAATCAGGACTCTCCAGAGAAACAGAACCAATAGAATGTGTGTGTGTGTGTGTGTGTGTGCGTGCCGCACAAAGTCATGTGTTGCTTATCAACAGATGTGTTCTGAGAAATGTGCCATTAGATGACTTAGCCATTCTGGGAATGTTCTAGAATGCATTTACACAAATATAGTTGATATAGCCTACTACACATCTACGCTATATATAGGAACCACCATCGTTCACTAAAATGTTGCTGTGCAGTATCTATCTGTTATCTATCTTTCTGTCTGCCTATCTATCATCTGTCTGTCTATCCATCTATCATCTATTTGTCTACCTATCTACCTGTTTATTGACTCACACAATTATGGAGACTGGCAAATGCAAAATCTGCAGTGTGGGTCATCAGCAGACTAGAGGTCCAGCAGAGCTAATGGTGCAGCGCCAGTCTGAAAGCCAAGTGCTGCAGAATTCCTTCTTCCTCAGAGAGGTCAGTGTTTGTTCTTTTCAGGCTTTTAACTGATTGGACAAGACCCACCCACTTTGGGGAAAGTAGGCTGCTTACTCAAAGTTCACCACTTTAAATGTTAATCTTATCCCGAAATACCCTTCAAGTTGACACTTGAACCACCACAGACAGTAGCATATCAGTTCCTATAAAGATTTTAACATTTTAAAATTCAGTTTTCTCCAGAGGGTTCAGGTGAAAGTCTCTATAGTAGTTTTTTTTAATTTTATTTTTATATTCCCCATACAATTGCAACCCCCTTATTTTGACCCCAATCTCTCCTCCTCCTCCCCATAGTGTGTCTCTGGTTCATAACTGTTTGTTGATTTTGACTTTTTCTTTCTTATAGTTATTCTTTTTCCTGGTCCCTTATTTAGGTTTTCTAGATTCCTGCTATGAGTGAGACCATCTGATATTTTTCTTTTTGGCTTATTTCGCTGAGCATGAGCCCTTCCAGCTCCATCCATGTTGCTGCAAATTGCATGTGTTTATCTTTTTTGATTGCTGAGTAATATTCCATGGTGTATATGTACCACATCTTCTTGCTCCAGTCATCTATTTTTGGGCATTTGGGTTGCTTCCAAAGCTTAGCTATTGTAAATAGTGGCTTTGATTAGGATGGGGTGAACACTTTTATTTCTATGTGGTGGTATTTCTCAAGCTCAATCATTTCTTCTCCTGCACCATTTATTCCATATGAGCAATGTGTCATACACATGCACCGGCTCTCCACTGTCTATCTTTTGTGTCTGGAATCTACCAGCCAATACAGGGCAGCAAGGGACACTAAAACTGGCCGAGGACACTTTACATATTTCTGAGATTTCTACTTGTTACCAGAAAAGCTTATAATTATTTATTGCTTTCTCTGTACCCTTAAAAAAATCTGTATCAATCAGGACTCTCCAGAGAAACAGAACCAATAGAATGTGTGTATGTGTGTGTGTGTGTGTGTGTGCCGCACAAAGTCATGTGTTGCTTATGTGTTCTGAGAAATGTGCCATTAGATGACTTTGCCATTCTGGGAATGTTCTAGAATGCATTTATACAAATATAGTTGATATAGCCTACTACACATCTACACTATATATATGGGGTCGCTCTCTGAGTTCTTCACCCATGCGCACATTTGCAAGCCTACTCAGTTTCAGAGAATAACAATAATGGTATTAATTTAACAAACCAGGGAAAAACAGAGTTACTGAGGCCAAAAATGGCCATTTACCTCACCTGAAGCAGTTTTTAAGTTTTTAAGTCCTAAACACAAACACTTCAAAGATGGTGTCTTCCCACCACTGCAGACCTGGCGCACATGGCAGCCAGACTATAGGCCGGGTTTCAAATCATGAAGACAGCAGAAGACACAACAGGAGATTCTCCCAGAGCTGCTGAGGTGGCCCAGCGCAGCACCAGACAAGCGACACTCAAAACAGCAGCTGCAGTGGCCGAACAACTCGACAAACAGACACAATCACACAGCTCAGCAAGGCACCTGGCTCTGGGTTTTCGCCTTCCCTGCCGGGCTGCAACAGGTGCAAAACCAGAAACAGTTTCAGTCACTCAGCAACCTGCAGAGCCTCCAAAATTTTCCTCTCTGAGGTTGGCTGCTCTACCTCTCCACATCCTTCAGACACCCACAACAGTGTTCTGGAACATCAGCATGGTGGGGTCAGAAATGGCTGGACCTCAGCATCGCTGAAGATCCAAAAACCCTGAATCCCAAACACTGAATCCTGGGGGCTGCTTTCTAAGGGGCTGCCTGGCCAGTACTAGGGGGCAGGCAGTTGTTACTACCCAGTGAACAAATGGCCTCATTACCCATTAGGGTCCCTCCTGTGGCTTCTCAGCCAGACTCCTAATGTCTCCACACAACATTCAAGTTTAAACTCACTTTGGTTGTTCAAGATTGCTTTCAAGTGTATGTCAATGTCTGTGGGTGTCACCGATTATGATGTTGGATACTTATGTTTCTTTCTTTTAAAAAAAAAAAAAGATTTATTCATTCATTCATTCATTTATTTATGGGGTACTGGCCAGAGATGCGGGGGATGAGAGGATTCACCAGAGACAGAGTGAGAAACAGAACAGGCAGAATGACCAAAGTACATTGCTGAGGGGAGCAGTGGGTGAGTCAGGAGAGGTCTGCTGCGCCATGTGGGTTGCTCCCTGGCCGGCCGGGGATCGAACTTGTGCTGCAGAGGCTACAGATTGCTTCATAGTGCAGTGCTTTAATCCCTTGTGCTACCAGGAATGCCCCTGGGTTCTTATATTTCTTATCAGAGTTTCCATCCCAAAATGCCACACTTTGTTCACATTTTCCCTGGGGCTATCTATCCTCACCTGCACACACACACACCCCGCAGGGGGCACCACCTGAAACAGTCTTTGGCTTCAGCCAGCAGTAACACAGGGCTGCTGAAAACTCAGTGTCTGTTATCAATGTGCTTTGTCTCCCAGGATGTTCATCGAAGACCAGAGCCCAGGGGAACGGAGCCCAGGTTCCCAGGCCTTGTATGAGTGCCTTTTCAGTCTTTTCAGAGAAAATAAAGTGGAGATTGCAAGTGCAATAACAAGGGTATATCCTTTCCTGATGAGCATCCGTGACCGTGGCTTCATCTCTGAGCAGAAGTTTGAGGTACTTGAGGAGACTGTGCTGCTGACATTATATCACACATCAGGATGCATTAAACAGTCTAAAAGGCTTCCCATGCGTGGGGACTTTCACCACCCTCTGAGTTAGTTGGTGGGAGGAGAAACAGCCTCTCAGAGAGCGCTGTTTATTCTGTAGTAAATGTTGGTGGAGGGGCAGGGTGATAAGATGTGGCAGAACTGGAAATGGGAGGGCTGTGTGGGTACAGAGCATCTTAGGTATGTCGAGACCATGTAATAACACTGCCTAAAATTATATAAGAGGACTTGGTAGTGTTTTATCACAAAGCCCTCTTCTGTTGCACTCGAGGTTACTGAAAAACAGCAAAGTTATGCTGTGGTAGGATAGATTTGGAAGCAGATGCTTGCTGCACTCTCTCCAAATCCCTTCTTGCCCCTTAGACATTTCTGGAGCTCTAGAATGCAGGTAAAGATTAGAAGTGGGATTACTGAGTTTCAAGACTCTTTGTCTTTGTGAATTTTCTCTGCCCTTTGACCAGGTTCACAGCAAGGAAGAGCGACCACTTGTTTTTCCTGGGGCCCTCCAGGCCTGGCCAGTGCTAGCAGGCGGGCAGTTGTACTACCCTGTCAACAAAATGGCCTCATTACCCATCAGGGCACCTTCTATGGCTTCTCAGCCAGACTCCTAATGACCCCACACAACATCCTAGTTTGAACTCACATTTGCTGCTCAAGATTGCTTTCAAGTGCATGTCAATGTCAGTGGGAGTCACAGATTATGATGTTGGATACTTGAGGAGTCATCCAAATACAAGAAACATTGTAACATTTCACAAGAACACAAATGGTCTATTTATGACTAAATCTTCTATAAGCTGTAAACCCATAGCTGCATAATTCTGCATTCCATATTTTAAGGAATTTATAGGCGCTTGTGAAAACCTGGTCCCAGTGGAAAGAGTGATGTATGATGTTCTCTGTGAAATGGAGAATAATTTTGACGAGAAGGTTATAGATCTGCTGTTTAGCAAGTTCATCCTGAAGAACTACCCTGATTTACTTGAGATTTTCAGCAACTTCCAAAACGGTAATCTATGAATTTTGGGGATTCAGATTCATTCCATGCACTGATTTATTCATTCACTCTTCATGAATATTTGACAGTCATTTTATGGAGTAATGGCTTTGTGACAGGCACAGAGAAAATAAGAAACACACCTGGCGGGGTCCTCATGGAGGAGACAAATAATGGGGGGGACAGGTGATAACCAAGTAATCCCACAAATGATCCCTCAGTCGGAACCTAAATTTGGTTCTGAGGACCTGAGGCTCTAGTTTTTTGGGAGGAAGATAAGAACTTCGCCCTTTTGTTGGAAAGAGGACACCCTCTTGGGCACTTGCAGACATGCTAAAAGATGAAAAGATTTTCTTTGTATTTCTTTGTATTGTATTTTTCATTCAATAAAGTTCTGTGCCAACTTACTCTCGAAACTGTGGTTGGGGAAGTCAGCAAAGAACAGGGCATTCACCCATGTGTGGAAAGCTATGGAGTGTGACTTGCAAGATGTGGGGGCTGAAAAGCAGAAAAACAGACCTCGAGAGGAAGTTTTTGGAAACTAATTTTGGAGGGAGAAGTTGGAGGGAATTTTTGAGGATCTGATACATTGTGCTAAGGAATTTGAAGTTTATAATTTGAGAAATACAGAAGCAATAAGAGATTCTTAAGCAGAGAAAAAGTAAAGACTCAGTATCAAGAATGGGATGTGTTGATTTATGAAAATCATAATCTTTATTAAAATAAGAGCTCTTGGGGCCTCCCTGGTGGCTCAAGGAGTTAAGCGTCAGCACTATAAAGCTATCCGCAGCCACTGCAGCATGAGTTTGATCCCCAGCCAGGGAGCAACCCACATGATGCAGCAGACCTCTCCTGACTCACCCACTGCTCCCCTCAGCAGTGTACTTTGGTCAACCTGCCTGTTCTGCTCCCTGCTCTGTCTTTGGTGACTCCTCTCACCCCCTCACCTCTGGCCTGTAGCCCAGTTCTTGCATGCATAAATAAACAAATCTTTATAAAAAAAAAAGCTATCTCATTTCCATACAATGACATATCCAAGTCGAGGAAGGGAAAGAAGGAAGTCAAATACCTAGTCATAAACTTCAAGCTGATACTGCATTTACAATCAACAGGTCCCCAAGCCCGGGTAGGAAAGTCATGGCAGTTCCTGCCACTGCCCACCTCTCAGGGGCTGAGGTTCACCCTATGGGTTGCAGGGATCCTGTTCCTGGAACCCAGCACTCAGATCACATGGGTTATTTCCAGGACTCCTGTGCTGAAATGACTGTCCCACCACCCAGAGGTTGCACCACCAGGACAGGGTTCCCTGAGGTGGGAAGGTTCCCACTGAACTACCAGAGTCCAGGGTGTGCCAGGATGTGTCACTGAGATGCAGCCCCAGGTGACTGCCAAGATGGCCTTTTCCTTCCTCTGATGGCCTTTTCCTTCCTCTTCTCAGCACTTCGTGACATCTTCTATTTCCAAGACCTTGATGAGGACCAGAAGTGGGAGCCCCATGACTTGCAGTTAGACTACGCACAAGGTAATGATGACCTGATAGAAATTTGCTTTTTCCCCTCCCCAAAGGAAAGGCCATCAGAGGCCAGGTGACCCGGCTCCGGGGTGGAGGGTGTGCCCTGGGGCAGGGATGCAGGAGAGCGAGATAGAGATGCTAGCCCTGATGTGCGCTGGGGGTTCCGAATTAACCAGCCTGAGGTGAGATCCTTCCGGGTAGAGATGACAGCTGGGAAGATGAGCTCTTGGCACATGAATCTGAGAGAGTAAATTTCACTGTCATTGTGAATCAGAATTAAGGGCAGAACCAAGGATAATAATTGTGAGTTAGAAATGTGGTGGGTCTGGGAAGGAATGAGGGCTTGGTCCAACGTGCTAAGTCCAAAGAAGGAGCCTTTGGTGTGTCAAGAACAGGCTATTCTAAACATCATTCTTAAGAAAAGAAAAGAGGACAAGAAAGCGAGAAGTAGTCGTGCGCAGGAGGGGCGCTGTGTAGGGAAGAATGAGTGAAGAAAGGAACGAAAGTAAGAGTCACGGAAGAACTGAGTACAGGATGGTAATGACATGCCAAGGACCCTGGAGCGGCACCTCCTCCAGGGACCAGCAGGTGTCGGGCTCAGCGCTGTGAGGCGGGAATCAGCTGGCGCCTGTTGGCACGTGGACGGTGCTTCTGTCACCAGTAGCCGTTATTTCTAGCTTTTTGGTCTTTTTGGCTCAGGTTTTATTTATTTTGAAAAGCATGAATAATACATTTATATATCAAATTTATATTTGTTTTAATAATCAAACTTAAACGTGGAAGAAGACAAATTGCCAGTAAGTATAAAATTTTCATTAAAATGTACAAAATATATCAAAAATCTATTTGGAGAGTCCCCTATGTCTGAGGATGGTGGGAATGAGAAAGGGGCGTCTGGGGAGGCAGAAGGTTAGTGATAGTTACTTATGAAGAGTAAAAGCGGTTCTTGGTGCGGGGAGGGGAAACAGCAGCAACACTCCCAGTATGATCTAGGTGACACCGTCCCTGCATCCCCAGAGCACCTCAGTGATGAACAGAAGGGGAGCACAAGAGATTTGTCTTACCACGTTCCTGATACAACAAGAACCCAGGAAACAGCAAGTGAATGTGTCCAAGAATCTGAACAAGCAGGTAAGCCTGACCCACAATTCAGTATTTGCCCAGATGGTTGACTCTGCATGTGGGTGGCTCAGATAGGGTGAGGGATTCCCATGTTCAGAATTCAGAAAGGTGGCTTCCAGGGTAGAAGACCAGTGTCTGGTGACAGGTTTCTGTGGCAAAGAGAAAACCCACAAAAAGACACACTAGAATAGTAGAGGGATAGAGAGAACTGGACAGAAAAACTAGAGACAAAGGGGAAAGAGCTGGAACATCCCAGAGACACAGTTCTGGGAGGGCCAAGGAGAGCTCGGAATCAAGGATACATGAGTGCTCCCCAGTAGAGGCAACAATGGAACAAGACTGGAAGGAGAAATGTGGGCAATGGAGAGAGAGAGAGAGAGAGCTGTAAAAAAAAAAAAAAACCCAACAGGAAAAGAGGCAGAGTGAACATGGAAAAAAATAGACATCCACTCTGATTTCACACCCTCCATGAAAAAAATCCTTCAACCTCAAAGGTAAGGCTGAAATGATAAAGCTTTTAGAAGAAAACACAAGAGTGTTCTGCAAGCTTTGGTGAGCAAACAATTGTAATATAGCACACAAAAAACATGGCTCATGAAAGAAACAGTAAATGGACGTCATAAAAATGAAAAATTTCTGCTTTTCCAAAGACATCATTAAGAGGAGGAAATGGTATCAGAGAATAGAAGAAAATATTTGCACTGCACATATCTGACAAAGGATTGTGCTCAGAATATGTATGGAGGGGCTCCTGGTGATGAATTGAAGGCCACAGAATAATGAAAATATAGATTGGGGGAACCAATGGAGTTGCCTAGTAGGCCCAGTTTTATCTAAAAATCTATCTATCCATGCATTCATCCACCCACCCACCCACCCACCCACCCATCCACCCACCCATCCATCCATCCACACATAGGCAGACTATGCCTGGCTTTTGATGGCTTCCCTTGAGAGATATCAGCAGTGAAGAGAGGATGAGCTTTGACTGCCTGGGGCTCCCTGTGTTCAGAACACAGGTAAAAAAATAGGATGAAAAATATAGGTGGAGCCATTAAATGAAGAGACTGGAATGATAGCCAATTTACCTAAATGCAATTGGAATTCAAACACTACCAGGTAGGCATGTGTTATCAGGAAGAGGAAATAATTTTCAACCTAATTTTCCTAAGGTTAGATCAGGAACAAAACTCAAATTTGAATAAAAATTTAAATTTCAGTGTGTCCATTTTGTGCATATCACATATTCCTTCTCTTGTATCATCTATATTCTCATTTTTTGCCACCAACAAATGAGCAGAGATCCTTCCTCCTGTCAGGTCCATTCAAAAGCAACACAGAAAAATCAGTAGCCTTCCTATACACAGTCAGTCTGAAGAAGAAGAAATCAAGAAAAACATCCCTTTTATAATTGAAACAAAAACAAATACTTGGGAATAAACCTAACAAAAGAGGTGAAGGACCTAAACAAAGAAAATTATAAAACGTTGTTAAAAGAGTAGATGAAGACACAAAGAAATGGAGAGACAGCCCCTGCTCATGGTTTGGAAGAATTAACATTATCAAAATGGCCATCCTACTGAAAGCAATTTATAGGTTCGATGCTATTCCAATAAAAATTTCAATGACATTCTTCAAAGAAACAGAATGAATATTGATAAAATTCATATGGAAACATGTACCAAAAAACATGAATAGCCAAGGCCCTCCAGACTAAAAAGGAGGGAAATGGAGGTATCATACTCCCAGACTTCAAACTACACCTCAAAGCCATAATAATTAAAACTGTATGGTACTGGAACAGAAACAGACACACAGACCAATGGAATGGATTAGAAAATCCAGTAATAAATCCACATATTTATAGATAACTAATCTTTGACAAAGGAGCAAAGAATATGCAATGGAACAAGGACATTTTGTTCAATAAATGGTGCTGGGAAAACTGGACTGCTACATGCAAAAGAATGACACTAGACTAATACCTCACACCATGCATAAAAACCAACTCACAGTGGATAAAAGAATTGGACATAAGACCTGAAACTGTAAAATATATAGAAGAAAACTTAGGTAAAACACTACATGACATATATCTCAGTAACATCTTTAAAGACACATCCCCTAAAGCAAAGAAAGTGAAGGAAAAGATAAACAGCTGGGGCTACATCAAATTAAAAACTTCTATACAGCAAAAGAGACATTAACCAAAACAAAGAGACACCCAACTGAGTGGGAGAGAATTTTTGCACACAATACTACTGATAAGGGATTGATCACAAAGATCTACAAAGAACTGACGTGACTCAACAAAATCAAAGTAAGTAACCCAGTCAAAAAATGGGCAGAAGAGCTAAAAAGACACTTCTCCAAAGAGGAAATGCTAATGGTCAACAGACATGCAAAAATGTTCAACTCACTGGTAATCAGGGAAATGTAAATCAAAACCTCCATGAAATAGTACCTTCCACCAGTGAGACTGGCACACGAAACAACAAATGCTTCAAGGAGAAACTGGAACGCCACCATTTTGTAGTGTGGTTCCTACACTGCTGGTGGGAGTGCAAACTGGTCCAACCACCATGGAAGGCTGTGTGAAGATTCCTCAAATTATTAAAAATGAAGCTTCCATATGACCCAGCAATTCCACTCCTAGGAATCTACCCAAAGGACACAAAAACATTAATTCAAAAGGACACACCTGCACCCCTATGTTTATTGCAGCACTATTTACAATAGGTAAGATATGGAAACAACACAAATGCCCAGAAATAGATGACTGGATCAAGAAGATGTGGTACATATACACCATGGAATATTACTCAGCATTCAAAAAAGATAAACACATGCAATTTGCAGCAACATGGATGGAGCTAGAAGGGCTCATGCTCAGCGAAATAAGCCAGAAAGAAAAAGAAAAATATTGGATGGTTTCACTTGTGGAAGGAATGTAGGGGAACCAAATAAGGGATCAGGAAAAAAAGAATTATAATAAATGAAGAAACAAAATTATCAGGCAATTATAAATCAGAGACACGCTGCAGGGGAAGGGGAGCGAGAGGGTGGACACAAGGGATGATGGTGATGGTGCAGGGTGAGCTGGTGGTGGGGATTTTATGGGGACTGCACCTGAGAGGACAAAGCATACATTGTACAAAAAGGAAGAATGATGTAAAATATATATAACATAAATAAATTAAATCTAAAAATTTTTTGTAAGAATTTTAATTTTTTGATTACTCGTTCTCTTCTGAGCTTTTGGACATGCTTAGTCCTGTGCTCGGAACCCTTCTCCTGGCCCGCTTCTCTCTCCACCCTGCCCACTAATCTGGTGGAAGCATGTGCAGAGTGTGTACCTCCCCAGGAAGCCTCCTCTGACCCCTGGGTCTAGAAAGTAAGTGGATGGGCCTGGGCGAGGCCGTGAAGCACAGCATCGGGGAAGCAAGAAAGAAAAGAAGGAAGTGGGAAGACATACAAGGAAAGAAACGAATCACGACAAACAGCCATATGGAGCGATTCCAGCTACAAGATCCAGAGGCGGGGATGGAAGAAGCAGAGATTCTCAGAAGGGTGAAGAAGAGAAACAGAACACAGTGGGGAGGCAAGTGGGCAAGTTGTGTGGGTCTTCAGCAGATGACCAGGCTGTGGAAGATCTTTTATCATGCTCCTTAAGACATAGTCGTGCAAACTGTTGAAACTGTTGTGGCGGGGAAATCAAGGGCAGGGAGGCGGGCAGAAGAGGAAGACAAGCAGAAGAGGAAGTGCGAGCACTGGTTGCTGCGGGTGTGGTTTTGAGGTCAGTGTGTTGTTGGGGTGAGGGGACATGTGGTTGGAATGCAAAGACAAACAGAGGGTCCTGTGGATTCCCCAAGGTATGAACCAGGGTCCAATATAAGACTTTCATGAAAGCAAAAATAATGTTGGTGGAGAGAGAAGGGAAACCACGGAGAGAACACAGAAATGGAGCCAACCACTTGACCTTGGAGAGATCCGGAATGAGAGTGCCAGAAAGCATAACAGGAGGGGGCCCCCCTGGTGGCGCAGGGGGTTAAGCATCAGCACTATGAAGCTACCCACCACAGCCACTGCAGCACGGTTAGACCCCCGGCCAGGGAGCAGCCCACATGGCGCAGCAGACCTCTCCTGTCTCCCCGCTGCTCCCCTCAGCAGTGCATTTCGTCAGTCTGCCTGTTCTCTTCCCCGCTCTGTCTCTGGTGAATCCTCTCAGCCCTCCCGCACATCTGGACTGTGCCCAGGTTTTGGATGCATAAATCAAAAATAAATCTTTAAAAAAAAAGGAAAGCATAAGAGGAAAAAAAAGACACAGTATTATTGAATAAAAGAGACTTGAAAGCAAGGGACAGGAAGGAACAGGGGATGAGAAGTCCAGACAGCCACAGAGACGCACGGCTAGTGCAGAGGTGTGTGGAAGCAGAAATGCAGGACACTGAGGAGAGAGGCTGGGGAGGAGGCACAAAGATGGCGGCAGAGCAGAAGATGGTGTGACGCTCAGGTGTGGGGGTGGAGGGCGCACGTGACTTTGTCATCCCGGTTGGCAGCCTCTGGAGGCGCTGGCAGCAGGAAATGAGGGTGGAGATAGAAAAATGTTCTGAGGAGATGGAGAGGGAAAGAAGTAGAGAAAGAATTAGGGGTACTGGGAGGAAGGGAGAGGGTGGAAGCCTCTTAGCCTCTGGTGGCGGTGGCGGGGTGATCACCGGCAAGCCAGGTGAACCCAAGGGACAGACTGGGATGGTCTGGGACCAGGCTCATTCCTCCCGGGAGATACTTGAACTTCCCACCTCTTCACCGAGGTTTCCTCCCATGATTTGCCTCTGGCTACACCCTGGAGAATTTCATTTCTTTCTGCAGAAGAAAGCACCTCTGATGGGAAAGAGCCCCGCGAAGCAGCAGGCTCCCCACAAAAATGTCAGCCAGGTAAGGAAGAGGGGGCAGGTGTCAGGTGTCTCAATCGGGCTGAACAGCATGACCCTCGTTGTCAGAAGTGTCCCCTCTGCCTGTGGCTGTGGGTAAATGCTGAGGAAGGCACGTGCCTCCCTTCACGCTCTTTATGCTTTTATTCTGAAGACTCGATATTGTCATTTTAACCACCGTCACCAACTATTTCCTGTGAAGAATAAAAGCCCAGCCTCTCCCCAGTGCTTAATATTATTGTTACGTTGTGATCGCCAGGATGGGCTCGGAAAGAAACACCGTTCTGAGATGCACTTGTCAGAAACAAAGATCGATGGCTTTCAAGTCCAAATGACAGTTGTTGCCACTTCAGCTTCGTCAGGCTATGGACTGTACAGAGTTTTTTTCTTTTCAAAGAAAAGACAAATTGGGGGCAAGAAAAACCTCCTTCCAAAATTGAGCCCGAGGAACTGTTGCCCTCCCTCCTTAGCGATAAGGCAGTGGAAGCACGGAAAAAGGAGATTTGTTTTCCTCGAGATCAGAGTAGGGAGAAGAGCAGAGCCCTGTCCTGTCCTGCGGGTGTCCCTGCCGGCGGCAAGGGGGGGGGGCACAGTGTGGTCGCGCGCTGGTCAGGGTCCAGGGAGGCTGCAGGCTCGGGGGGACTAGCACAGAGCCTGATGCACAGGGAAGCCCGCTTCACAATCAGTGTCCGCCGGGAGGGGAAGAAATCAGGGGAGACGGAGAGAGGAGGAATGGATCCCTGGCCGGGGAGGAGAGACCTGGGAGAACGAGAGAAGACAAGCTCCCCAGCGAGGGACGCAGGCAGGAGAGGGGAGAGTTAAGATCTCAGCGGGGCTGGGGGGGAGCAGAGCCCCTCATCTCCTCCGGTGCAGAAGCAGAGCTGTCTGGAGGACAGTGAGAAGCAGGGAAGGGAGGAAAACGTGGGGGACGGGAGGAAGCCCAGGCAGAACGGGGCACGTGGGCCTCAGGGTGGTCCTTGGGGTGGTGTCTCTCTTCTCAGAAAGCAGCTCTCCTGTGCTCGGCTCGGTGCATTGCTCCTCTTCAGAGCCCTGGGACCCCGAAGCTCCCCAAATGACCCATGAAGACGATCCAGGGGAGGGGCCCAGCCAACGGGCCTGTGATAGAGAAGGTGATTATGGTTTCGAGCCCCGTTTAACTAATTGGATCTTTGTTTTATTTTTTAAAATATTTTATTTTATATAATTGTTACATCATTTTTCATCTTCGCACAATGTATGCTTTTTCACTTTGGTTTATTCCCCATACAATTCCCACCCCCCTTATTTTGACTCTAGTCCTTCCTCTCCCCTCACCCCGCCCCCGCAGCGTGTCTCCAGTTTATAGTTCTTGTTGATTTTGATTATTTCTTTGTTATAGTTAGTCTCTTCCTCATCCCTTATTTAGGTTTCTATCACCAGGGAGGACACTTTCTCCCCTTTCTTCGCTCTTATTCTGTGCCTCGTCATGCACTTACATGGCAGAAGTGTGCACAGAATGGAAAGGAGAGAGATTAAGTGTACAGGGAGGGAGAGAGACAGCTGGGGCGTCTTCAGTCCCCACGGTTGTGGCCGAAGCCTCGTTAACCCCTAAGTCCAGGAGAGCCTGAGGCCAGCGACCATCTCGCCCATGAGATTTGTGAGCCCCTAGGTCTCCCTGGCTGGGTTTACAGCCGTGGTTTCCTTTGGTCACATGCCGGTTCTCTAAGAGATTTAATTCTATTCAGCAGAAGACAGTGATACCAGTTTAGAAATGTCTGCTGAAGAATCACCTCAGCAAGCATTGAGCTCCCCAGCAAGAAGTGAGCCAGGTAAGGGAGGTGGGGATTGTTGGGGAAGCAGGGGTCAGGAGGATGGTGCTTCCTGAGGGTTTTCCTCTGAGCACACCCCACAATCGAAAGTGCAGTTAATTCTCAAATACCATTCTTTTTAAAGATTTATTTATTTATTTGTTTATACAAACACTGGGTACAGTCAGAAGCGCGGGAGGATGAGAGAATTCACCAGAGCCAGAGCGGGGAGCAGAGCAGGCAGAAGGACCAAAGCACACTGCTGAGGGGAGCAGCGGGCGGCAGGAGAGGTCTGCGCGCCATGTGGGACCCTTGCCGGCTGCTGGGGATCGAACTGGCACTGCAGAGGCTGCGGACAGCTTCACAGCACTGCACTCAACCGCTGCTCCACCAGGGGAGGCTCTGCTTGAATAGATTTAAAACAGAAGGTCACAACATTCAGAAGTTATGGCCTATTCCAAGGGCATAGAAGCTTTTGGTCTTAGCAGTTTGACATGTTCTAGACACATGTGACTAACTTTACCTACTTTGGATAATTTTGCTTTCTGCATGGGTGGGACTCTACCAGAGAGTCTGAAGCAGTCATTGCATCGCCAATGTGGTATTTCATTAAATCTAATTCAATTCAGTTCCATTCAATTCAATTCAGTTTCTTTTCATTTCATTTTATCCTAATTTTAACCTTTGTGATAAAACTTGTCATAAAGTGATAATATTAAGTCAGGATGCAGTATAGGGACACACAAAATATACCTTCTGGAAGTAGATAGTGAAAACAAAATCCTAGGATTCCTCTTTATTGAATAAGGGTACTGTGTGTGTATGTGTGTGTGTGTGTGTGTGTGTGTGTGTGTGAATCACATGTTCTTTATCCATTTGTCTGTTGATGGACACCTAGATGTTTCCATACCGTGTCTATTGCAAATAATCATGCAATGAACACGGGGAATACCTATTTCTCAACACAGTGATTTTACTTCCTTCAGGTATATATGCCCAGAAATGAAATTACTGGGCAACACGGTAATTGTATTTTCAACTCCATGCTGGAAACTCCACCCTGTTTGCCGCAGTAGCTGTCCTAATCCTCAAACCACAACAGTGCTCAGGGTTCACTTTTCTCTGCATCCTCACTGGCATGTTATCTCTTGCTATGACACTCTCTGATCTAATATAAACTGTGCCATATGACATCATCTAAAAGAGGGGGTAGTGACATGATGTTTACAATCCCTGGAGTAAGGGAAGAAAATCTCGGGGGCTTCACAGTTAGAGTTTCCTTTGGTCACACGCCAGGTTCTCTAAGAGATTTAATTCTATTCAGCAGAAGACAGTGATACTGATTTAGAAACATATGATGAGGAACAGCTCCAGCAAGCATTGAACTCCCCAACAGAAAGTGGATCAGGTAAGGGAGGTGGGGACTGTCTGGGATGTAGGTGTCAGGAGGATGGTGTTTCCTGAGGGTTTTCCTCTTAATTCTGCCTAGAATGGGGCTTATGTTAATATCTAGAAAATAATTATTCACATAAACCATTGATTTCTCCAAGCTAATAATATAGGAAATTCTCGTCAACTCTTGACATCAATAAAAACTGAACATCAATGTATTAAAGAAAGGAATTTGGCTTTAGAAGAGATTGTCATTATGTTAGGCACAACAGCACTTAGGTGGACCTATTTAACTTATTGCTGCAGATCTTGAATCACTCATTGTGTAGGTAAGCTGACGCTCAGATTAAGTATAAATAGATCCTATGCAGGAGAATTTTCCAGATATTCTAAAGTTAGTCTTTCTTTAGTACACTTAGTCTGGTAGTTTTATTTGTAGAGTAGAACCATACCTATTAAATTTATAAACTTTTTTTTAAAGAAAAGAAAGGAGTATTCATTAGATAATGGTCTGAAAGAAATAGCTATTGATTAAACATGGAACTTTTTGTAATTTTTTCTTTCCTTTTATAGAATACCATCTCATGCATTTTTCATTTTTCAAGTGTTAAAATTTCCGTGGAAGCCCAAAATGACCTTTTGTTAAATGTTGCTGTTTATTAAGATACATGCAAAAGTTAGAATCACACCAAGTGTACAAACTCCCTCTTCCTTTTGTGCACTCAGTATGATGCTGGTGGGAGATTGTGACTTTGGCAAAGACAGTTCACAGTGAACAACATAGGTGTGAGTGTGTCTTGCATATGATGGGGTCTTGGGCTCATCAGCCAAGGAAGACACTCCAAAGGGACACACGAGCAGATACCTCATAGTTGCAATCAGATTATGTACTCGATAAAATTATTTTCTTTCACAAACTGATAAGATGGCAAGTAGCTTCATGAGAGTTTTAATGAAGCTAAAGTGTGTCCAACTGTCTTTGCATAAATTGGCTACTAATAGACCCATGTCTACTACCTGGTCTTTGGGGCTGACTTGACTGTGGATTTGTCAAGTCTGTGCCTCCATCCACTTGTTTTGGTCACTATCTTCTAACATTCAGGAAGCACAGCACGGTCAGGAACAGGCAGACTCAATGGACACAGACACAGATTTCTGGAGTGACTCTGGCTGGTCGACTGACTTCCAAAAGTCTAAGGCTGCCTGTGACTGGCTAGCTTTAAATTAGTGGTGTAAGTAGTCATTGGCCAATGGGGTTGAGTTAAACTGGTTCTGGTAACCTAAAATTTTCAAAGCAGCATTTCCCCCCACCCCCCAAAAGGACAAGATCTTTTTTATTCTTTGGGTTGCAAGTAAAACATGGTAGAGAAAGCAGAATGAGGTGCAAAAGATGAGGAAGCGTGGTTCTGTTAGATCTCAGATGTGATTATTGGAGCAGAGATACTTTTTCTCCAGAAGGCAGCTCGTCTTAGCTCAGAAGATCAGGTGAAGCATGAGAGCACCAGGAGCGTTTTCCCAGGCTGGTTTCAGGATCTCTGGACCGTGGCTTTTTTGTTTCTCTTTAGTCTCTGGTGAACTAGAAGTTCTGCAAATGAATAAAGAGGCTTCAGAAGCTAGCCTACTCTCCTATGATGGTCACAGTAATAATGTGCTGCACCTCCCCCTGCAGTGACCCTCAGGGCTAATGGCTGTTGCCATGGTCCCTGAGGTCCGGTGTGGGCAAGGAACCATGCGCACAGGGGGAGAACAGCAAACTCCCTAAGAGGCGGAGAAGCCGAATGCCTGCCAAGAGATAACGACCACCAGAAGCTGCCACAAAGATGATTAAAAGAAATGCTGACCACCTGGAACCTTATCTCGCTTTCTCAAGGCCCATAAACTTTATTCTGCTACAACTGTCTCTCTAAAATCTTTCCTTTTTCTGGTCATTGATTGCTAATTAAAAAACATACCTAATTTAATAATTAGGTTAATGCAAATGAAACATTACTAAACACTGTGTTATAATAGAATTGTAGTTTAATAATCTTTCTATTATGTGCTTAACTTTAGTACCTTTGATATTAACTACATTATAATATAAATTTACCTATGACAATTAATTATGAGTAAACATAAGTAAGTAATAGTAGTAGTAGTTAGTACAAAAATATGGAAAGAGTTAATAACCTGTCCAATTAGGAATAAGACTAGGTCCAGGTGTAACTTCGGACATAAATCACTGCCCTGTCAATTAAGCTAAGCCTATGAGCAAACTGATCTCTTTGATGTTCACTGTTCCTATGCCTTTAGAAAAAACATATATATACTGACCACTAACAAAAATAAAGTTACACTCAGATTTACACTCTCTCTTGAAGTGTGTCTGTTTGTCATTTCTTTAACCGAATCCCTGACCACCCTGCGCAGTCTCTCAACCCTGAGACGGCCTCATTGTCTACTGCTGTGCTGGTCCGCGGCAATAATGACTTAAAAATAATTAAAAAACAGAATTCTGATAAGACCAAAGAGAATACTTTGTATACTTGTGTACAAAGTATACCTCTCAGACCCCAGGCTGAGTGGTGACTGGCCTCTATGAGTTCTTCGCTATCACTTGCTGTTTTCTAGGTACTGTAGACCTTGTATACTTTGTATCCAAGTTTAGAAAGAGTCCACTATTGCTCCCAATGAAAGACTTCAAAGGAAGAATAGATAAATGGGGATCAAGCAGGGTACAGAGGAGAGGGTCACTGGGACAAATGAAACTCTTCATAAATCATGCTTTTAACCCAAAAACAGAGTTACCAGCCCTTGAAAAAGAGACGTGTCCGTGTGTAATGTGCTCCCCCAAATGTGTGCCAGCAAGTTGGAAAGCAGGGCCTGAACATAGCCACGCGTGTGACATGATGGGTAAGGCTGCCTGAAGACCGTGGTTTGGGGGTGACCCTGAGCAACCACAAACCCCAGGCTGAGTGGTGACTGGCCTCTATGAGTTCTTTGCTATCACTTGCTGTTTTCTAGGCACTGTAGGCCTTGGAACCAACTCTACTTTGGCAAGAGTCAAGAGGAAGAGAAGTAAGAATGACTAAGATTTTACTTGCTTTGGGGGTAAAAAGAAGTTTTTTAATGTCACTTTCATTATAGATATCCATAGCTTAATCTCCGGAACATGCAATCCATTATTTTACATGGTGAAAAGTATTTTACAATATAATCAAGGAGGTTTCTTGCAAGAGCAGATTACCTTGGATTATCTGGGTGCTCCCAATATAATCATAGAGGCCTCAAAAAGTGGAGAATCATTCCTGATGGGGGAGAGAAGTGGCTGAAGAAGGTAGTCACAGAGAGAGACAATGTTGCTGACTTTGAAGATGGAGGGAAAGAACAAAGTTTGTAGGTCACCCCTAGAAACCAGAAAATTCAAGGAAATAAATGCACCTGCATAGCTTCCAGGAAGGAACAAAGACCAGCTGAAATCTTGATTTGAGCCCAAAGAAATCTTGTCAGAGTTCTAACCCACATAGTTATAAGATGAAAACCCACTAAATCTGGGTTACTTGTTATGGCAAAAAAAAAAAAAAGGAAGAGTAACGCAGATCTTGCTTATTGGAAGTGGGGTGCAGCTATCACACATACCTAAAAATGTGAATGTGGTTTCAGAATTGGGCAATGGGCAGAGGAAGATTGGCAAATGGGAAGAACTTCAAATAAAAGGATAGAAAATGTCTGGATAGCCTTGCACAATTTGTTAGCAAAAATATAGATGCCAAAGAGTTTCCTAGTGAGGGAAGGAAGCAAAGAACATGGTAAACCTATAATATCTTCAAGATATGTCCTGAAGATATGCAAAGGCAGAACTTTCTGAGTATATAACTAAGGAGATTGCTAAGTAAAGTGATAAAGATTAAAATGGAATAAAGGAAGTAATAAAATCAGCACAGAAATTAACAAAATGGAGATTAAAAAGCCAGAAACTGGTTCTTTTAAAAAGACTAACAAAATAGACAAATGTTTAGCCAGACTCACTAAGAAGACAGAAAACAAACACAAAAAATTATAACTAAAAAAGAAGTTACAACAGATACTACAGAAATAAAAAGGATAATTACAGAGTATGATGAATAATTACACAGCAACAAATTGGGCAATCTTGAAGAAATGGAAAAATTCTTAGGCATATGCAACTTTCCAAGACTGTGTTATCTATGTATTATATATACAACCACAACAGTTACCTTTCAGTCTAAGGCACCAGCAAAATATTTTCCAATGTTGCTTTTTCTAATTTTTAAGGGAAGCTCATCCCCTAGAATCTCTCAGGTACATGCAGAGGACAATGTAACTCAGAATCAGCCTCACTGGTAGTTAAGAATTTTGCCCCATTCTTGTGGATCACAGTCTGGAAAAAAAAAAAAAAAAAAAAACTTGAAAATTATTAACCATAGGCTTTGGAAATTACATTTATGGCTCTGAATGATTAACTTCTCTCTCTCTTTCTTTTTTTAAGAAAAAAAGAAAGGACATTCCTGGACAAGAATTAAGAGAATCCGGAGAAACACACAAAATGCTAAGCGCACCAAGAGAAATAGTCAGTTTATTAAGACACTGCTTATGGTTTTGGTTTTCTTGCCTCTTACAGTCTCCCATGACAGTTTCTGAGCTGTCCTGTCAGTTAGGATATAGGCATAGACACTGTAAAAAGAGGCCCCAACATACCTGCCTTCAAAAATGGTTTATTTCTCACAAATTTAATAGTCCATGCTGCATGGCCCAGGGTTAATAGGGAAGCACAGCCACCTTCATTCAGTATGTGGCTTCTTCTCTTTGTGAAGACATTTTTATTTGGAAAGATACAGCCTCTTTCAGTTTATTCATTCGAAGGCCTTCTGTAGATATGACATCTCCAGCCCCCTTCCACCCATCCCATTTGCAGAATGTTCTAGAACTCCCTGAGATCTTTCCTCTCTGGAGAAAACTAATGTGAAAGTGACATGCAGTAAAGCAGAGAACACAAGTAGAAGTCAGAGGCCATCTCCTCTCTCAGTTTGCCGGTCAGAGTCCTGTCAGGAGGGACAAGTTCAGTCTGATTTGTCTCCAGCTACCTAACTTCAGTGACACTTTGCCTCTTTTAATTAAAAAAATACAGTGTTAATGGTATGGATAGACCCTAGAAGTAACTAGAGACTTGTGCAGTCAACTTTCCTAAGTGCCCCTCTGTCTTTTTAGGGAAAAGCTCAAGGTGGGCAGGGGTGGGGTGGGGGGAGGTGTGCAATTGCAAAATGAGATGGAACAAGGAAATCTCTTTCAGGATCAAGAAATCACAGACATGAAAATGTGGATTTTCACTCTGAAATACTGCCTGTGACCTGTGGTGAGGTGACGGGGATGTTACATAAGAGGAAATTGCAACGAGGTGGGTGTCATGGTCTACTTTAATTTTCAACTCCTATCTGAAGGGATCCCATGGAGCAGTGGAATTATCCATGTGCATTAGACATCATTCAAGAAATTGGGGCTGCAGCTGACTTGAGAGGGGGAGGAAGGGATCCCTAAGATGGTGGACATACTCTACACAGTAGGTGCTCACTCCCACACAGATGTGTCCATGGGATTGCCCAACGAACCAGAGACATGTGAATGAGAAAAGGGAGGGACTTCAACCTCCACCTTTATAACCCCTATCCCTTCTGGTTCATCATGCTAAGGACAGGACACCAACGCCATAAGAAGAGCCCAGAATTTAGAACAGAAAACCCAATTCCCCGCCTCAACGATGCCAAGAGTGACAGATTCATTTGAGTAGAGAAGGGAACCTCCCTGAGGCTGAAATTTCTCATCCAAAAAGAGAATAATAAAACCCCGCTTCATGGTATAACTATGAGGAATTACTTTACATAAGTCAGATAAAGAATTGAACAGCTTTACTGAGATAAAACTCACATGTCATGCTCTTCAGCACTAAGAGTGTAAAGTTCAATGTTGAGTTTTGTTTGTATAGTCACAGGATTATACAGTCATCACCACCTTATGGATTTAGAATACTCCCTCCCAAAGGAAGCCCTAGGTTTATTAGCAGTCAAAAACCCTCCACCTTACCCCACCGCCCAGTGCTAATCAGTCACAGATCTAATTTCTGCCCTATAAATATTCCCTTCTAGATATTCATACAAAAGAAATCTCTAATATATGCCTTTTGTGATTGGTTCTTTTACTTAGCATGATGTTATCCAGGGTCATCCCTGTACTGCTGTATTTTGCCTCTTTTAATTCAAATAATACAGTGTTAATGGTATGGATATACCCCATCTTTTTTCTCCACTTCTCAGCTTGGGTTGCTTCCATTCTTTTAACTATTGTGAATAATGCTGTTGTGAACATCTACGTGAAAGCTTATGTATGAGCATCTATTTTCAATTCTTTGGGGTATATTGCCAGGGTGAAACAGAAAATGTCCTAATTCTCTGTTTAAGTTGTTAAGGAAACACCAAAATGTTTTCCACAGTGGCTGTACCAGCTTATAGTCCCATCAGCAACATATGAGGGCTCCAATTTCTCTACTTCCTTTCCAACTCTGGTTATTCTCTTTTTTTATTATGGTTCGCCTAGTGAATAGGAAATAGTTTATCACTGTGGTTTTGACTTGATTTTCTCTAACGATTAATGATGTTTACCACTAGACTCTTTTACACATAACTGAAAATTTCTACCAGATAACAGGATTCAGGGGTGGAGAAGTCTCTATTCAATAGAGCCATTCAATGAGTCATGTGGTGGATGTGGTTGGGGTGCCATTCTGAGCAGCACACGCCCCCCCCACCCCCCGCCCTCCACCTCCGAAACTGCCATCCCTGAGCAACCTGAGCTTCTGCTGCCACTTGTCACCACAGTTAACTGGAAACTCTGTCCTATTCTCAAGCCCCAGAATTCAATATCACATTGAAATCCTCCCACTCTTCAGAATCACTTCCTTTTTCTTTGTAGGTGATTTGGAAACCTTTTAGAAGGTAGATTTTGATGGTAATTATCAATTTTTGTTGTACAAACTTGAAAGAAATATGCACAGAAAGTAGGAAGTCTCCTGTGAGGGCACTTAGAGGCTGGGCTTGAGGATTCTGAAATTGGTCACCCCCCTCCCATTGTTGATCTTGAGCCCTAATGGGTGTATCCATGTCCATTGGGGTGGAGACCACCTTCTGCATTCTGAGAACAAAGAGAGCTCAAAACCAATGTATGCTCATCTTGCAGGAACCTCTGTACGGTGTATACAATGTGAGGATGGAAATTGGCTCACCCCCAGGGCATTTGAAGTCAAAGGAGGCCTTGAAAGATCAAAGAATTGGAAGAAGAGTTTGCGCTGTGGTGGGATACCCCTGCAAATGCTGATAGAGGTATGGCGGTGATGGGGCAGGAAATGTGACTTTCCTTGATATACTCCACGGTGTGGTCACCATTTGCTCCCTGAGTATTTGCTGAGTTATAGTTTAAGCCCTGATGCCTCTGAGTTTAGCCTTACACCTGGGGGAAAAGTGGCCCACATTCATAACCTCAGTACAGTGCAGCACATAAATGTAGTAAAAGGCGCTCTGTCAGAAGAAATGCAGGGGTGGAGGGAGGGAGAGTTCATTCTGACGATAAACACAGACAGCTTCGTGCACTGAAAGAGGCATCGACAGTGATGCACATGGGAAGAAGACAATCCATGGAAAGCATGACATGAAAATCAGAACCACAGTCAAAGTTAAGGCAGACAGACTGTGTGTGATCCACCTGTGGGGGTTTTTTGCAAGGGTGTAAGGTCAAGCTAATGAGTTTAAACTCATAGACACTCTCTTGGAGAGCCAGGGGGCCTTGATGCCATCAATGTCTTTCAACCCAAGAAACCCATATTCAGCCTACAGTGCTCAGCTCAAATGTCAACTCTCTCTCTGAATATTCCCTGGCTGACCTGGCCCTGGCCACCCCTCACCTGGGCTTCCAGAGTCCTCTATTAAGACTCTTCTTATGCCATTGATTATTTATCCTTCCATGCATTTTCTTTTTCTCTCTAGACCCCTCTGAGGGTTGTCTATCTTTGTGTGCCATGACTGAGCAGAGTGCCTGACATCCAGTAGGTTTAGGACTGATGGAATTGCCCTGGTGTAAGGACACAAGCTAGGGTGGCATTGGTGAAAATGGAAAGGAGGTGTGATGTGTCCAAGACATCGTGAAGAAAGTCCTCTTAATCTTAGGGGAAAAGCACAAGAGAAAGGAGACGCTACAGATACAAGCTTCAATTGATTGAATTCCAGAATTACAAGTGTATGAGAGAGAGAGATGGTTTCTCACTTTGAGTTTGAGTTGATAGTGGGACATTCAGGTAGAAATATTTGGGAAGAGTTTCAAAATGCCAGACTCACGAAACAAAAGCACAGGCTAACCATGTACTTGGATCTTTTTTTCTCTCAGGATGGATTTCTAGATAAACCTCCAAGAAACTATAACAGGAGAAGAAAGGTGATTATTATATAACTTTCTACAAGCTCTTCTCATTAACTGGTTTGACATGTTCAATGTGTTATTTCATGGTCCCCATGTAGGTAAGTAAGTTAAGCTTCATCCATCCATCCTACCTGTTTGTTTTTTTTTCCCATGTACCTTCAAAATAGCTACTATGAACAGTCATGTTGTATAGGCAAGGTCTTCTTTGAATGGTAAACCATTTGAGATGCAGATGATAAGGAGTCATCCAAATAGAACTCAGGGATGAGTTTTAGCTATTGATGCAAAAGTAGTAAGCGTGTCCAAGTTGGAAAAGCAAACGTGTTTGGGTATGGTATACAGGAAAACATTTCCTAAAAAATGATAGGGTCATCTTCAACTTACAGGTTTTTTTTTTTCCTTTCATACTATTTTCTACATTGATTTAAATCAGAGGGAGCAAAATTTTGCTCACCTTCACTAGATGGCTAGGCTGGGGGACTGAAGCCATATACCACTCCATGTGGGTGGCAAACAAAAGCCAACTTCTTTTTGGAGCCTTTACATTTCCTTATACCTTCTAACAAAATGTACACACAGGCATGAAAAATTATTTTCAAGGCGCATTTATCTCCCCTTCACGAGGATGGTGCTGTTGAGAAAACTTCTGGGCGATTGACATATTGCACAGGAGGGGCTACCCTAGAATATAGTTCTGTTCACTTTGATGCCACCCCTTTGGCACCACCAGGGAGGCTGTGCAGACCTCCCTTATCATTGTGAAGGTGATTTCTCCTTTTATGGAAGAGTTATGGAGAGGGCAGTCAAGCTTGTAAGGGGCAGAGTAGATTCAGGACAAGCTGATGGTTCTCCAAGACTGGTTTGGATGTACAAGATAAATAACCAGTTATTTTACCAAGAAAATGGGTACATTTGAGAAAAGCAGGTGAACTGAAATTTGGAAAATGCACATAATTGCAATAGTGAACTATAAGCAAATCCAGATACTCAAAGGTGGGAACCCTGCTGTTATTGGGGAAAGCAGGGGAATGGGGTGGGGGTGGTAGCTACTTGGTGACGAGTGACAGCACTTCTTATTGGTGGAGGTATTGCTGTTCAGGATGACTCTCCCTTTGGGATACTAAAGTGACTTCTTCCTGTTGGGAAGTGTAAGGGTTTGCTTCTTCCCTTTGGGGCATGCAAGAATGAAACGTGCATGACAATGTCAAGTAGTGATATGTGAGTTCCCTTTACAGGCCTTCCCAACTTCAGTTTTAGTGGATGTTCCTTTATTAATTTTCACGCTAGACATGGATGAGCATTTGAGGAAGAATGGTGGGGAAGAAATGCAATTCTTAAATACCACAGATAGAAATAGGTGTTGAGACATTCACAGAGCTCTCAGCTCAGTCACACTTAGTTGGCCAATAGGACTTCACCTTCCAACAGCAATTTGAGGTCCAGGCCTTTAAATGACCTGATGTTGTGGATGGTTTGAGCTATCAGTTCTGGGACGTTTCATCCCCAGCATTACCCAAAGGGAAACGCTTGTTTGCCCTTGTTAGTGAGTTTGTTAACAACCAGCTTCGGGGCCATTCTCCAGGCATCAATACCCCCTCAGTCTAGATCACCCACGTGAACTGGCAGCTTCCTATGTACAATATCTACCCTGAGTCATGAGCACAACATTGTTTGCAACAAGCTGCTATTGCCTCTGCCTTCTCCTGAGTCGGCCGAGAGACATCTTAAGTCTCCCATGAGGAGAACAGCCTCCCAAAGAGGTCCCAGGATTTATTACTACCCCAGGGGCCCTCTGTGCCTCCCAGAGCATCTCGAGTTTTGACAGAGCCCAATGGTCTCCAGAAACTTCATTGCACTCTGGTAACCACAACAGTTTCCTGTCTCCTGACAAGGGCCATGCACATGTCCCAGTGACAGCTGCCATGTTCTAAAATGATCAGTACACTCCTCTGGAACAACCGTTTATTGTTTGATTGTTTGGTAATATTTGCTTAGAGATAGCAAACAATCACTTTTCCTAAGCAAAACAATACTTGTTTATTCAGTCACTAAATAATAATCAAGCACAATCTTTGTGTTTTGTGCTTATTTAAAGAGGCAAGAAATGTGGCCTGTTCTCAATGGGCTGATTTAGGCCTGGGTCCCTCAGGGACTAATCCTCAATGGACATTGAAGAAGATTGAAATAATATCCTTGACCTTAAGGATTGTTTCAACTTCACTGTCTAACGTAGAAGAATAACTCATGGGGGTGATGGGAACGGGCCTCTAGGCCTTGTAGAGAGGTGGGCAGTGATATGGCCACTGCTAAGGTCATTCTCCCATGGGTCACACATGTCTATCACCTCTCTGTCCTGACTGTACATGTAAGCTCAGGTGCCTAGATCCCAGGAGGGAAGGAGGCCAGGTGGTCCTACTGGATAAGCAAAAGCAACATAAACCTAGTAGGTGGCAGTCAGTGACCTCTGAATAGTCAGCCAGCTGACATCTTGGGATTTGGATGGAGGGGAGATGAGGGTGGCCTCCTGGAAGAATTATAGCACTGGGAACCTGGGATGCAGTTTAATCTTTGGGGCTTTTTGCACTGGGGCTGCTGGTGATGCGTCCTGAGCCGACACACTCGTGGCACCTCCTCCCATGGGACAAGGCACTCTGGTGTAGAGAAAATGCCTGAATGCCCCTCGGAGGACATTTTCTCTAATTCCATCATTGAAAACAGGGCCAGACTCCTACATGACCATGCAAAGGTCTGTCTTGGGTCTGAAAGCCAGAGAAGGAAGTTCACGGGGCCATGAGGTGGCGCCTGGCACTTGGAAGACTTCTAGCCCAAATATAGGCCATACAAACAACTGAAACCCTGAGTAGACTGAGTAGACTGTGACTAGAATCCTTTAACAGGCAGCAGTTTAATAAGTGGTTAATTCAAGCTCCCATTCAATATTGTCACTTAATCTTTCTCTCTTTTCAGGGGAAAACACAGAATTCTTTCGGTTATCCCTCAGTTGATCCTTATGTAAGTTGTTTTTTTTTTTTAAAGATTTATTTATTCATTCATTTATTTATTTATTTATACGAGCACTGGGTACAGTCAGAAGCGCGGGAGGGTGAGAGAATTCACCAGAGCCAGAGCGGGGAGCAGAGCAGGCAGAAGGACCGAAGTACACTGCTGAGGGGAGCAGCGGGCGGCAGGAGAGGTCTGCGCGCCATGTGGGACCCTCCTCCGGTGGCCGGGGAGCAGCTGGGGATCGAACTGGCGCTGCAGAGGCTGCGGGCAGCTTTGCAATCCAGCACTCAACCGCTGCGCCACCGGGGAGGCCTGATCCTTATATAAGTTTTAACCCCCACCTGGAACCCCAGACAACCCAGGCCTTTCCCCTTGGTGCATCGTCTATGTCTGATATGTTCCCCTGAGGCTCACACTCAGTAGATTAGCAGAGATGAGCAGAGAGCCACAGACACATAACCCTCGCCAGGTAGATGGTACTGGGGTGTGTCTCAGGGCAAAAGCTCCTTTCCATTTGTCCAGTGGCGACTCCCATTTTCTCATTTCCCCTGGAAAACGGGTGTGCGAGGCCGAGTTCTAGACCACTGTGGCCTCTAAAATTGAGGTTGATGTGATCATGGCCACAGCTGGTCTGCAGATGAGCGGTGAGAAGCAAGGTTGAAGGGTGGCTGCATTTTAAAGAAGGTGGTAGAAGGAAAGCCCAGGCATTCACTCCAGGTGCAGGCAGAGCTAAGGATGTTTTAAACATCAGCCAGATGGTTGGGACCTCACTGGTGGTGCAAGGGCTTAAGTCTCAGCACTATCGAGATATTGCCAGCCACTGCAACACGAGTTCAATCCCAGGCCAGGGAGCTGACCCACAAGGCGCAGCAGACCTCTCCTGTCTTGCCTGCTGCTCCCCTCAGCAGCATATTTCAGTAGATCTGCCTGTTCTGCTCCCCACTTTGTCACTGGTGAATCCTCTCACCAACCCCTACACCTCTGGCCTGCACCCCAGTTCTTGCATGCATGAATAAATAGAAAACAAATCTTAAAAAAATACATATATGAGTCAGAAGGAATAGGCCAGATTGAGCTGCTGTGTTCAAGGGTGGGTCCTGTCGTGAGTCCTGCAGAGAGACATGCGCCAGGCCAGTGGGTCCCTTATAGAACCCTGTACCCAATCCCCAGGGCCTTCAGGGGGCTGAAACCATCACTAATGGCAATCACAGGGCATTTTCACTCAGTTTAAATATGGCTTCCTGCTTTAAATCTGCCAAAATTATGGGCGACTTCACTCTCAGAGCTAAATCATAATGGCTTTCTTTCACTGCAACAAGATTGACATTAAAGCAACCAAAGTAACCAAAGTTTAAGAATCTTGAATCCTATCTTTTTAACAGATTTCTCTCCACAACTCCAGGGGGCAGCACTCACATGGGACATCATGCAGTCATAATGACACCTGACATCCAAGAGAAAAGGGACAAATAGTTTTATACACACTTTACGTCCCAAACAATCCTCCCAAAACGTTTCGATTGTATCCACAGTGATGTTGACCCTCAGCCAACTGAGGAAGCTTCAATCTTCTGGACAGCTCTGGAGTCCAGTGTTTGTGAGGCTTGTTTGGGTGCATGAAGACACGAAGGATCAGGTCCAACTGCCCACGGGAGGGTGGCAACTGTTCCAACAAGAGCACCCTCATCTGTGTAAATCATCCCCCCTGGGACGGATACCACAAGTCAACTCAACATTGACTCAGAACATACCTTGACACTCAGATTCTGCCAAGATTAGATCTCAGCTTACTCTGCACATTGGGATCCCCTGAAGACCTCTGAAAGGCTGCATTGCCTGCCACCCACCCAAGGGGAAATTCTCATTTAATTCTCCTGAGCTGATTTAGGCATTAAGATTGTGGGGAAAGTCCCAGATGACTCTGATACTCAAAGTAACTTATTGTATGGCTTCAGAACAATACCCAAGCCCATCCGCCCCACACCAACTTGGTCAGAATCACTGCCCCTGGGACCAGGAACTCTTAATTTACACTCTTCTCTGGATCATTCTATGTGCAGCTGGGCTGAGAAACTAAGAGCTGGAGACATAAATGTTAAAAAGATATGGATTCAAGATTCTTAAACTTTGGTTACTTTGGTTGTCCTTATTCTCCTGGGGACGAGGGTCACTCTTTCTGGAGAATGATGGTGAGCTATGGGAGCCTGCCCTGAGAGGAAAAATGAGCTATGCTTGCGTGCCAGAGCAGCCTCAGAGGTTGTGCTTGCAGATCCCCTAACTTTCAGTGGGAGCACCTGGCAAGACATCCCTTTGGGCTAACGTTTCCAATATGCGGCCATTTGCACACAAAAGAAATCCCCAGAACCCAATTCATCCAACACAAATATTTTCACCCAGAAACCCAGAACATGATGCAAAGTAACTGTTGATTTGTGTGACTTATTACTTTGCACACATACAAATATATCCCTTCTTATTTAATTTTCAATATATCCCCCTTCTGTGAGTCAGTTTAGTCATGCTGCTCTGGGCACATAAATTTAATACTTTATTGCAGGACCTGGTTTGATCTGCAAGGTTAATACAATGGTTCAGATTCCGATGAAATTGTCTTGTTTTGTCGCCAGTCTTTCTGGGATAGAATCTCTGGTTTCATGGGGCAGCTTTTCCGTCTGAATCTGTCAGGCCCGACACACGGAGCCTCCCTCCTGAATTCACCGCAGACCAGGATGTCCTCTCCTGAAATCCCTGCTCCCTGCCATCCTTCCCTGGCTCTGGGGGCTGAGAGTCCATGCAGGCCCACCCAGGCGGGCACCACCCCTCGAGCTGCCAGCTGTGAGCTCACTGGGCCTCCGGGCACTGTTTTACCTTCCAGCCAGAAAACTCTAACACGTGCGAGGTGTGCGGGGCCAGAGGGCTGCTGCTGTGCTGCGACACTTGTCCCAGGTCCTTTCACAAAGACTGTCACATCCCCCTTGAGGACACGGAGAGGTTTGTGAGACACGGTGCCCACCCCGTGAGGGCCGGTCCCCCCTGCAGAGTTGGCATGGGCATGGGAGAGAGCGGGAGCTCCGAGGCCCGAGGGTGGTCCCCGGAGAACCATGTCAGCTGCTGTGCCGGGAGGGCGGTTCTTTCCTCTCCTCTGCTGCTGGAATCGCTGGTCTCCAGACGGCCGCTGTCCCAACCTAGAAGCTTCCAGCATGGACTCCCGTTCACAGAAATGGAGACGACAGTTGTTTGCGTCCGGTGCTGCGCTAGACGGGGCAGGGAACCTGGCCTGCTCTCCCCGCTCCGATGGCGCCTGGGCCCCTCCGGGACACAGCCCGTTTCTGACATGCAGGCCTGGGGGACAGAGATCCTGGGCTCCCTGCAGCTCAGATGGGGAAGCAAAGGCGTCCCTCCACGTTCTGCCCACCCCCGCCACCCTGGCTGGGAGGAGGCCACTGTCTCAGGCCCCACAACGGAGCTTGGAGACGGGAGGTGTCCCCTCCAGCCATGCTCACGGAGGACAGCTACGGCCACAGGAGCAGGGGCTCTTTCCACAGCTGCTCCCCTGCCCACCTGTGCCCACCCACAGGGACCCGTGGAGCTGCACCTTCTGCGAGGTGAATGAGTCCTCGGGAAGCCAGCCGCGTCGGGGGGAGGCCGAGGTCCTGGCAAGGCCGATGCAGCCCGAGGAGCAGTTGGTGAGAGCATTGGGAACCCCCAACCTCCCTTTGCCCCTCACCCAGGAGCAGGCACAGGGGCCAAGGACGAGGGGGAGGGCACCCAAGGGAGCCTACTCTTGGAGCCAGGCCTCCAGGAGGCTGAACACACCGAGACTTGTTTGCTTGAAAACAGCTCAGCCATTCCAAGTCTGCTTCCTAGACCAATACATGTTTGGGGAAACTTCTGGAAGACTGGTGGGCATGCCTCTGCCCGGACATGCATAAGGGCTCATTCTCTCCAAGTTGCTCTCCATTCACAGTCCCCTTCTCCTGCAGAAATGTGCCTTGCTCCTCATGAAGGTCTATGGCCATTCCGAAAGCTCCTTTTTTAAGAGGATTCCACATTATTATTATGTAAGTAACAAGAAGCCATGACAACAGGCGGCAGAGGTCACCTGACCCTGACCTGGGCCCTGGGGACTCTGATCCCCGTCCAAGGGCTAAGAGCAGGAGCTGCTGTTACCTTGACCTTGTTGCATTTCTGCTGGGTTTTGTGAGAATTTGCAGAAGCAGAGTGTGTTCGTAACTGTCGCATTGATCTATTTTTCTCACCAGATTAAGGAAGTTTCTCAAAAACTGAAGGAACCCATGTGGTTGGACAAAATCAAGAAGAAGCTAAATAAGCAGGGATACTCCCGAGTGCAGGAGTTTGTGCGGGACATGCGCCTCATTTTCCAAAACCACAAAGTATCTTACAAGGTCTGTACTGCCACTGCTTCCAGCACTTTCTCTTCCCACCCCTTGTTACTGGGCATGGTGAGGGGCACCCCAGAACCCCCAAAATTCCCTTCCCTAAATAAGTTCTTCCATCTACCACATCAAGACAAAACATAAGTTTGTCTTTTCTAGTGCATAAGACCTTTAATGGAAGGGAGATTTACTACAATTAGTGTGCAACAAGGACAAGAAAGAGAATAACATGTTTAAATCAAGTACCCAAAGGTACCCATCCCCGCATGGGTAAATGCCCACACAGGGTAGGCCCAGAGCAGGCCCACTGAACCCAAAAACCTGAAGCATCTGCTGGTGGGGACCCATCGGAAGAGGGAAGAAATGGCCAGAAGGCTCTGGAAGGAAAAGAGCAAAATCAAAATCAAGATAAAAGCTGCCACTGTTCACTTCCCTACCGGTGTCTCACCCCCGTCTGTGGCAAGTCTCTCCTTCCCTGTCCCCCAAGGCCCGGGTCTAAGTCCCAGGCTGAGCAGCAAGCCCAGTGTTGTGCATGTCTCTGTGCTCCGCCTGCCTGCTGGGGGCTCCTGGCTTCCATCTGCTCCCTTTTTCCTTCTCCAGTCCCCTCTCCGGCTTCCCCTCGCCCTGCTCTGTCCCTCCCTCCTCAGGTGGGGCAGGGAACCTGGAACCTCCCTTTTCCCCAGAGACCACCCTGTTACACCCTGACAGCTCATTGCCCTCCACAAAGGCACCCACGGGACAGTCGAGATCCACCTGCTCCACCTCCTAAGGAGAGAATTGTCTCCTGAAGTAACCTGGTGCTTCTTCCCTCCACCAGCTCCCCTCAACCAGACTGCTGGGAATCCCCCACTTCCAGATCCCTGCTGTGAATAGGCCACTAATTAACAGGGACCCCCAGAGGGGACAGAAATGACCCATGAAGCTCCACTCTTGTCTTTGAACTGTTTAAAAATGTGGGTTACTTTTCTAGCACTCACTAAGGGGAATAACCCAAACCAAATAAAGGGGTCCCCGAGTGTGGGGGTCACTTGTGGTTTCTGTCTAGTTGAGAAGAAACAAGCATGCTCTGAGGAAACGGAAGCTCCCTGAGCTGCCTGAGTTTTAGTGTGACCTGATAGAACTGGTTTAAGACAAAGGTCCTGCTCCTTCTCCCAGGGAGGCAAACAATGAGGACCACTTTTTTTTTTTTTTTCAGAGCGTTAACTTTGGCCTAAGGGGACTTAAACTGGAGGCAGAATTTGAGAAGAATTTCAAGGAAGTGTTTGCTATTCAAGAAACAACTGAGGACAGCCCCCCAGGGGAGTGACCGCCCTGGATGCCCTCAGAAATCTCTGGACAGATCTCAGAATGGTCCTTCAAAATCAACAAAAAACTACGAACCAGAGACACTTTTAAGGGGGTGGGGGTGGGAGGGGAGAGATTGGGGTCAGAATGGGGGGGCTGCAATTGTATGGGGAATATAAAAATAAAATTTATTATTAAAATAAAAAAAAAAATGGTCCTTCCCAGGCAGCGGTGAGGGGCGCGCTGCTGACTCCTGCAGAGATCTGCCTTTGGGCCCGGGAAGCCCAGTCTCCTGGAGGTTCTACCTCCTTGGCTTGGGGCCAGCTCTTACCCCCAGGGTCAACCTAAAACGGAATAATTCATGCCTTTCCCCAGGCAGCTTTCTTGCCCTGCTGTTTTGTTTATGAAACTCTGAGCCGTTTATGAAACTCTGAGCCGAGTGTCTCTGGGCAGGGAAGGGCTCAGTGCTGGAGTCCCGGCTGGTGCATCTTCCATGGGGGCTGCTTTCTGTTTGGTGCTGCACAGCAGCGACTCTCTTCCTGGTGTGACAGGGGCTGGGAGACTGAGGAGACTTGGGGTCTCGAGCAGGGTCCTGGGGAGGGTGGGCAGGGCTGGCTAGGTGCTTCGGAATGAGCACAGGAGTTCTCTTTCTTTTCTTTTTTAAAAATTTTTTATTTATGCATACAAGAGCTGGGGTACAGGCCAGAGGTGCAGGGGGTGAGAGGATTCACCAGAGACAGAGTGGGGAGCAGAACAGGCGGATCTATTGAAATAGGCTGCTGAGGGGAGCGGAGGGGGAGGCAGGAGAGAGGTCTGCTGCGCCATGTGGGTCAGCTCCCTGGCCGGGGATCGAACTCGTGCTGCGGTGGCTGTGGATAGTTCCGTAGCGCTGCGACTTAACACCTTGCGCCAAGAGAGGCCCGGGAGTTCTGTTTCTGACCTGCAGGAGAGGACCCTGCACAGTGAGCTGCTGACTTCTGGGAAATTCTCAGAACAACTGCCCGAGTTTACCAGAAAACCAACAAAAGTGAGCCAGCTCTGCAGGGAAATGGAAACTTAGAAGCAGCCAGCAGAAGACACTTCCTGTTAATCATCCCACAGCTCTGAGTACACGGTCTTGCTGGGGTGGCAAATATTTTGATAGGAAGTTCTACCTGTTTCCTTTCTGGTCAGGTGAAATAGTCCAGGGGCGTCAGGCTCTCTGGGGAGCAAAGGGGGACGCCCAGAAAGGAGAAAATCTCAGAGAGGACCTCACATTCTGTGCTAAAGCCCTAACCGGGCCTCTGGCTGACGCCTGGGGAACACTAACGTCAGCCTGAGCCCGTGTCCAGGCCACGGCACTAGGAGGACACAGGAGTGGAGCCGAGGCCCAGACACATGAGCCACCTGCTGAGACACGCTCCCCTCCTCTGGTTCCAGCAGAATCGGCAATGCCTGTTCAGTGGGCTCAGACCCTGCCTGACGGCTTCTGCGGGGCAGTGTCATTAACCAGATGCCCTCGGACCTGCCCCTGGCACCTCTGCTCATGTGCCCTGGTCTGACGGTTTTCATCCGCCTTGAAGGCCCTTGGTCCGACATGCCACTGCAACTGGGATTTTCCTCTCCCGCGTGCTGCCAGAGCCCCTGGGAGGCGGGCAGGACCACGTTCCCACGCCCCCAGGTCGCCTGTGCCAGGCTGACCTGAGTTCTCGGGTCACAGTCCCGGCTTCGCTGGTGTCTGTGAGCACGGCTGGGGCCCTCCGAGAACGGGGCTGGGGTGCGCATTGGCAGCGCTGGAAACAGACTAGAGGCAGCGTCCCCTGTGCCCTCTCGCAGGACGGTGTCACTGGGCCTCTTCCCAGGGCACAGGCTCCTGTCAACAGCCCCTCTTGTCTCACCGTCTTGGAGGCTCCAGAAGACGACGTGTGCCTACCCACCCTTTCGGTTCTGCTCAGTCACCCTAAGGTCCTGCTGAGTCACCCTGAGGTCCCACCAGAGAGAATTACCCACCTACAGCCCAAAAGAAGGGACCCACGGCCCAGTGGGCTCCTCCCCTGTGCTGGGGGGAGGGCGCCAGGACCAGCCAGCAGGTGCTCGCGTTACCCGTGCGCCACCTGGCTGTCCTAAGACCCACGACATCCAGGCCACCAGGACTCGGGGTGCAGGCGTGGCAGAGTCTGCAGAAATACTAGACGTGGGGGCTCTGCAAAGGCTTCATCCACTGTCCATTCCAGCCTTTGCTGCTCCCACTGCCCCCTCCGCTCGTCCTGCTTCTGGTGTGCCCAGCCCCGCTGACACCTCGGCTTTTGGAGAGGGGAGGGTTGACCTGCAGCCTTAGTTGATTCCCCTGGGGCCAGTCCACACAGACTGCCCGGTCCCAGGTCCTCCAACCACAGCAGAAGTGCCAGTAGGGGTTCACTCAGGAAACACCACAGCACCCGGATTCCCAGAACATTAAACATGCTCGACCCATACAGGCCAATCAATCAGCAGCTGGGCGTGCTCATCCGGGTGCCTGAGTGATGCTCATCCAGGTGAGTGGTGACGCTGATACCCGTGAGCTCCAGGTCTGCCTGGCAGTAGAGAGGGCCCCGGTGGGGGAAAGTGAGGACTCCACACCCAGCGGGGAAGGGCAGCCTCTGCTAGACACGCACATTTTCTTTGCAGCCCGGGTCTTTAACATCCTCCCACGCCATCCATTTCTGCAGCTGGTGGATATTTAACACATGCAGCGTGGGGGCAGATCCACACGCCTGCATGGCTGAGGGTGGCTGCCCCAGGGGAATGCAACTCGGGGTGAGCAGGGGCCGGCGTGAGCGGGTCTGTGTCCAGGAAGGTCATGTGAGGGCTTCGGGATGGAAACAGCATCGGGTGTCCTGGGCCTTCCTCACAACGTTTAACCAAGATCTTTCCGTTCCGACCCGAGCCCTGTGCGCTCCTGAGCTGCCAGATGTCAAATCCTCTCAGAGCCCAAGCCTCCAGTCGGTCCCTCTGTGGGCAGTAGGCGATTCCGGTGCCTTGTTCCGCTGCTCATCTGGAGAAGCTCAGAGACTCTCAGGCAAAGGAGTTTCTAGTTTCAATTTCCTGGACCAGACCTCAAAGCCCGCGGAGGGCGGGAGGGGCTGCAACGCCAGGCACAACCTTTAGAGGGGGGAGCAGACCCGGCTGGAGCCAGGTCATGAGGAAGGGGTGCCCAGCCCGAGATGGTGGAGACTCCAGGGCCCCAAATGAAAAATGGGGTGGCAGCCTCAGGCTCCTGCCTTGCTTTGTTCCACACCGGGGGTCTGTGACGGGGTACAGGACGTCACCAGCTGCCCTGAGGTGAGCCCGGGGCTCCCAGTGAAGGGCTATGGGTGATGGTGCCAGCTCTGGAGGTGACCCAGCCTGTGAACCTGGACCCGCCTACTTCCTCCGTGGGGTGCACAGGACTGTGGGTGATCTCTGGGCCATTCGCAGACGACCCCAGACCCCCCCCTCAGTGGCTCAGAGGGATTTCCTGCAGTCCCCCAGGCTCCCCTTCTCTTCCCCACTCCCTGAAGCCCCTCAACCTCCAACCCATCCTCCTCTGCCCCATGGGTCTTCCCATCCCCCCTCCCAAGGCGTCACCCCCTTCCCTACAGAAATCACCACATTTTCTCCTAAGGGTCCTCTGCTTGCTGACGATCTTTGTATCCTCAGGAGTCCACAGCTCCTTTGCCCACAGAGCTTCTACTGAGCGGGAAGAGGGGGCTCCCCCTCACCCCTGTGCCTACATCTGAAACATTTCCACCAAATGCCCACAGAGCCCATGCCAGTCAACTGTGTTACGAGCACACGCTTGCAGGTGTGTGATCCCCACCTCTTGACCCACCTGGGCACAGGCGGACAAGACTTTAGGGGTAGGACACACACACACCTGCTCGGCCCTGTAAAGTGTGTCATCGGCCAAGCGTATTCTGTCCCCCATCTGAATTCAAACTGTTCCCGGGCAGGGAGAGGGGCGGCCCAAACCCCGCTGTAGGGTAAACTAAATGTCAGGCTTTTCTGCCCTCCCGCCATCAGGATAGATGATGGATCCTTGTCCTGAATGCATGCCTGATGGCGGGCACCTGGAGTAGGGTGTGGGCATAGGTAGATGGGATTCACCTGGGCTGAGACTGGGCTTTTAAGGGCGGCGTCAGCAGGACGCCAGCAGAAGCTGAGAAAGAAGCCGAAGAGAAGCAAAGAAGCAGAAGCAGAGAACGCCAGAGAGCCCAGATAGAGTGAGGATTTGCTGGGGGCTGGGAGGCCTGCCAGCCTCCCAGCCCGCACCCCTGCCTACCATATGCCTGGTGAACCCCAATAAAAGACCTGCAAAAAAGCCAATGAGGACTCTGACTCCTCCTTTACCCGGTCTGCATGGGATCAGAGAACCTGCTCAGTGTCCAGTCCTGCCTTTACAATTGGCGTAAGTCGGCAAGATGATCCATGCAGACGGGTACTGGAGCCCTCCGAAGACCTGGAGGGACTAAGGAGTAACAGTGTTTGCCTGTGACGACGCTGGAAGCGCCATGGCGGCACAGAAGGTGGATACGGTCCGGGAGCTGTGGGACGAGACCTCGCATGGAGAGACGCCTGAGAGGACCAGCCAACGACACTGGAAAGGACCAGCCAATGACCCCTGAGGCAGCAGAATCACCGGCGAAGAAAGAACCACGATTAGGAGCTCGCCAGTACTGATTCAGGGAGAGGCCAACGAACTTGGCCTAATGGACTGATGGACTCGGACTGATGAACTTGGACTGACAATCCCCCAGAAGGCGGAGGACCTTGCAGGTTGATATGTTTTGGGACCCTGGGGATGGAACGGTTTCGTTTGTAAACCCCAGGAGATGGGAATCTAGGGGTGGCCAGTGGGCCTTGATGGCCAAAAGCAGCCTGTGGATGCCCAGTGGCCAGGTGGAGGAGAAAAGCCAACTAAGAAGGCAAAAGCTGGTGCTGATGCTAAGTTGAGAAGCCCTGAGCGGCTGTTAAGCAGCCTGGGTATGCTGAAGCCCTGGGAGTCTCGTCAAATCACCTGTGGGTGATGCCCTGCTCATTCTTGAGTGAGGGTGAGGAGCTGAGGAACCCGTCCTTGGGGGACGGGTGGGGAACGTGGCTTGGGGTGGAGCCCAAGCCGAATGCAGAGTTTGGATCCCCCGACCCAAGTGCTTGTGCCGTGGGTTGGCCTGAGTGCAGGGGTCTGCGAGTCGCATGGGTGGCCATGAAGGCCGAGTGTTGGAGCGACTGCAGACAGAAACCCTGAGGGTTGGCGATTACCCCCAACAGAATAGAATTGCCAATCCCAGAGCGAGTGCATCCTGGGGGTGGATGCGGTGTGTGCCTTGTAGCCGAGACTACAGCCAGAGAAGGCCAGGAAGCCTGACGGCTCCTGGTGTGATATAGTAGATGCCGTGAATAGTTCCCCTCCCTCGCATGAGCAGCGCCTTTGGCAGCAGATTTGGTGGTTCATCTGCTGGTACCAATAATTGTCTTTTGCACTAGGTTGGGGCCCTGCCTGGACTATTTGTGTTCTGTTGTATTTTGTTATATTGTGATGTATTTGCTTTTGTGGGCCATGGCTGCATTGTTTGTTTGCTAAATTGTATATATGTAGATTATATGGCAGAAAACCCTGAGGGGGTGGACTGTAGGGTAAAGAAAATGTCAGGCTTTTCTGCCCTCCCGCCATCAGGATAGATGATGGATCCTTGTGGTCCTGAATGCATGCCTGATGGCGGGCACCTGGAGTAGAGTGTGGGCATAGGTAGATGGGATTCACCTGGGCTGAGACTGGGCTTTTAAGGGCGGCGTCAGCAGGACGCCAGCAGAAGCTGAGAAAGAAGCTGAAGAGAAGCAAAGAAGCAGAAGCAGAGAACGCCAGAGAGCCCAGATAGAGTGAGGATTTGCTGGGGGCTGGGAGGCCTGCCAGCCTCCCAGCCCGCACTCCTGCCTGCCATATGCCTGGTGAACCCCAATAAAAGACCTGCAAAAAAGCCACTGAGGACTCTGACTCCTCCTTTACCCGGTCTGCTGGATCAGAAAACCTGCTCAGTGTCCAGTCCTGCCTTTACACCCGCAAACCTGCCTATTCTAAATGGGTTCTGCCATCCGCTGCATCAACACAAAACATGAGACTTCACTGGGAAGGAACTTTAATACAACTAGGAAACAATACAGGAAAGGCAGAGAATCTAGTTTCTTAATCAAGCACCCAAAGTGACCCGTCCCCTCGTGGGTAAAAGTCCACCCACATGGGATTGGCCCAGAGCAAGGCCCCAAAGCCTGCCACAAGTCTAAAGCACCTTCCAGTGGGGACCCCCAGAAAAGGGTCAGAAACAACCAGACAAGCCCGGAAGGAAAAGAGCAAAATCAACATCAAGATAAAAGCTGCCATGGTCACCTCCCCACGGGTCTCACCCACATCTGTGTCACCCAGTCCACGACCAAAATGCAAGCGCAGCTTCTTCACGTGTCCCTTGGCTCCATGCACCTCCTCCAGGTCTCCTTCTGGCTTCATCCTGCTCCTTCCTTCCTCAGTCTCTTCTGCAGCTTCTTCTCCCCCTGCTCAGCTCCACCCTCCCTTGGGTGGGGCAGGGAACCTGGAACCTCCCCCTTTCCTGGGGACCCCCGTTACAAAACCAACAGAAATCTACAAAAATGTGAGACAGGTAGTGCAGGGTGAATGGAAATTGTTAGGATTTTCCACCCTCCCGCCATTGGCCTGTAAGATCCACACCTGTGGCTTTCACGTGTGCCTGGCGGCGGACACCTGGTGTAGGGCGTGGGTAAGTGGGTAAGTGGGCACCCCTGGGCTGGGAGGCCGGGCTTATCAGGGCGGCGTCGCAGAGACACAGCGGTAGCAGAGAAACAGGGGCCACAAGAGAACGCAGAGAACCCAGAAAGAGTGAGGACTGGCCAGGGGCCCCTGCCTGCCCTGGGCCTGGTTGACGCTCTGCAGATGGTGTGAAAGCCTCAACAGAGGCCTGGAGAAGCCTGCGAGGGCTCAGGACTCTCCTTTACCCGGCGCCCGCATCACAGAGAATCTGCCCTGTGCTTGATGGCGCTGCAGCTGGAGATCAACATCCCAGCTTCCTTTCTGGAAAAAAGCTGGATTTGGGCATGTGGCTTAGATGTGTGGCAGTGAGGGGGTCCCTAAAGCTGAACCCCAAATGGGACATACAAGGGAGGGAGAAACATGAAGGGGGCAAGAGAGCCGGTGGGAGGGAGCCAGAGCCACCCCAGGGACCCCGTCAGCCCCTCATCAGTCCAGCAGCCTGTCCCCACCAGGCCGCCGGAGGAGAGAGAGAGCAGAAGGGGAGAAGCCCCGGCCCAGGCCCTTGCAAAGGCCATTTACTTTGGCGCCCATGTCCATCTTCCGGCCTCTCCTTGCCCTTCCTGGAAGGATCCTCAGACCCTGAATGAAAATTCCAAGGACGGAGCAGCTCTGAGGGTGAGACATGCCCTGGGGTCCCCCCCCCTTTCATGTCTGGCTCCTCTGGGGTCACTTCCACCTCCTCCCTCTTTCCCTCCGGGCTTCCTGGAAGCTCCTCTGTTCCCTCCAGCCTCACCTCAGGCTGCAGGCACAAAGCAGCCTCCACTTAAAGGCACCTTAAAGGCTCCCCAGCTTGGCTCCACCTCTGCCCCCACCACCTTGAGCTGCTTTTTTTTTTTTTTTTTTGAGGCATGTTTATTTATTTATTTGTTTGTTTGTTTATACATGCACTGTGTACAGTCAGAAGACCTGGAGGGTGAGAGAATTCACCAGAGCCAGAGCAGGCAGAAGGACCGAAGTACACTACTGAGGGGAGCAGCGGGCGGATGGGGGACCCTCCTCAGGTGGCCGGGGAGCAGCCGGGGATCGAACCGGCGCTGCAGAGGCCGCGGGCAGCTTCGCAACCCAGCGCTCAACCGCTGCGCCACCCCACCTTGAGCTGCATTTACCTCTGAGGGACTTCCAGAAGCCTAAGCACCTCCTCCCCAGCCACACTGGGGGGTGCTGGCTTCTCTCCAGCCTGGCCCCGGGCTCCCCCTGCCTGGGCCCGGCAGAAGCACTGATCTTTCCCTCTTCCCACCCCCTGCAGCCCTCTCAGCTCAGGGAAGGGTGAGCTTGGAGGTCCCCCTCCTACGGGGCAGAAGAGGCTGAGGACAGATGGGTGCACAGAGATGCTTTGGGGGCTTTGCACAGAGAAGCAGATTCCTGGGGGCTGGGGCTCTTCCCTGGGGTCCTCCCCTGACCCTCCAGGCCCTGACTCCCTCCCCGGGCTCCCTTCCTGTGGCCCCATTCCTGACACTGCCCGCCCCCCACCCACCCACCCCCCCCCCCCACCCCCACCCCCGCCCTCAGAGCTGGGGGAGGACAGAGGAAATGTGGCAATGTGCAGGGCACTGGAATTACTTTCACTTCTCTGTTCCCCACTTGGGCGGGGCTTCTCTGGGAAATGGGTTCCTGAGCTTCTTGCTCAGGGTGGGGCCAGCCAGTCAGCCTCCTCCCCCAGGCTGGTGAGACTGAAAGGACAGAGCCCGGCTGCTGGACCAAGCAGGGGCAGGGCGGGACGCTGGCCGAAGAGAGCAGAGACCTCAGCACCAGGTCAGTCTGTCCCTCTGGACCTTGCCTTTTCCCTCTGGCCAGGCTGCTGCTCTGGGGTGTCTCCTGCAGACACTCAACGAAACCTTGGCTCGGGGCGTCGGGACAAGATCCCCCACTGGCCATGTGCTGAAAGGCAGGCGTGGACCATGCAGCCAGCACTCCGGGTCTTTTCAACAGCAGCGGGAGAGCTGCTAGCCTGAGTCCAGCTGATCTTGTTTTAGAATGAAACCGTCTCCAGGTTAGATTTTACTTCCATCCCATTGTTTTTCATTCCTCTGTTTATTTCAAATCCATTTTGTAGTAATTCAAAATTTAAAAAAATATACTGGATGCGTGGGAATCTCTACTGGATGCGTGGGAATCTAGCTTAGATCAGGAGAGACTGGACTTTCTGAGTCTTGTGCTGAAGTCCTCCTAGTCTTCGAGTTTTCTTCAATCATATCTTCCTTTTCTGCTTCAATCCATTTATACTAGCTTCTACCCAAAACCATTTTTGTTTCAGATATATTGGCTCTTCACAGCCTATCCTTTACATACATACCCTTATAGCCTTCACAGGCCACCCAGAATCTTTTTGGCATTTATTCATGTTACCCTTCCTCCCTAGGATGTCCACCGAAGACCAGGACACAGATCAAAGGATTTTCTGTCACCTTCTATTCAGTCACTTTAAAAGACATAAACTGGGGATTTGCCAAAAAGATGCCCAAAGAAAGACATTTCCTCTCCTTGAAACCCTCCATGACTGGGGGTTCATCAGCGACAACCTGTATGAAGTAAGTGAAGTTTTTATGTCACGATCTGTCTCACTGGCCCCCACATAGCTTATGCCTTGCTATCCTAAATCCAAAAGTCAGGGCACAGCTAGGAAACTGAGGAGTCTCCTACGGATGGGGGACCTTGTCAAATATTGTTGTTCCAAGTGTTTCTCTAAGATAAAAGGCAGAGGAGAAGGAGGCATGTCCAGAGACAGCCCTGCTCTAACCAGAGGAACTGGGGCAGTGGTGCCCGCTGGAGTTGGTTCTGTAACAGGGTGGTCCCCAGGAAAGGGGGAGGTCCCAGCTTCCCTGCCCCACCCAAGGAAGGGTGGAGCTGAGCAGGGAGAGGAGAAGCTGCAGAAGAGACTGAGGAAGGAAGAAGCAGGATGGAGCCAGGAGACCTGGAGGAGGCGCATGGAGCCTAGAGACACGTGAAGAAACTGTGCTTGTCTTTTGGTCGTGGACTGGGTGACACAGATGTGGGTGAGACCCGTGGGGAGGTGACAATGGCAGCTTTTATCTGGATGTTGATTTTGCTCTTTTCCTTCCGGGCTTGTCTGGTTGTTTCTGACCCTTTTCTGTGGGTCCCCACTGGAAGATGCTTTAGACTTGTGGCAGGCTTTGGGGCCTTGTTCTGGGCCGATCCCATTTGGATGGAGTTTTACCCATGAGGAGATAGGTATCTTTGGGTGCTTCATTTAGAAACTAGACTCTTTGCCTTTCCTGTATTGTTTCCTAGTTTTATTAAAGTTCCTTCCCATTAGTCTCAAGTGTTTTGTGTTGATGCGGCGGATGGCAGAACCCATTTAGAATAGGCAGGTTTGCGGGGTTTGGGCTGCCCCTGGCTCTGTCCTATAACAGGGTCAATAGCACTGGAGCTAGAAGTCTTGGCATCTGGGTTAATGTCAACAAAAGACGTCTTTGGCAAGACATGCAAGTCTCCTCTCTGCCCGATGCACAAGCTTTTTCATGGCCAAGTTCACACAAGGAAAGAACCATCACCAGGCTTCCTGGAGCCCGTCAAGTCAAGTCAGTAATGGAGAATGGGCAGGGTGGTCCTGTCAACAGAACTTATCCCCTGCTGAGCCTCTGCCTGAAACCATTTGCCAGGTTCTTTAAGGGCCACACGATTGTGTTAAGTGTGAACCCACTTTTATTCCTCAAAATCTCTTCTTACGTGAAATGCATATGAGGGTGGAGAGATCAGATTCACAAATGGATATTTTTAAGAAGGAAGGATTTCCTTGTTTCATCTAGTAACCAAATAGACAGAGGTTCTATACCTTTCCATGAGAAGATACCTACGCGGAGAGCAGGAATACATTAACACAAAATCATTTTCTGGAACTCTTCTGTAAGGTAAAAGTGTGTGTTTATATTTTCTCCATTTGTATTTTTTAGGATTGTCAAGAATCGTGTAGAAACCTGGTTCCTGTACAAAGAGTGGTGTACAATGTCCTCCATGAACTGGAGAAGAAAGCTGATGGGAGATTTCTAGAAGCATTGTTCAGCGAGAACAACATGAAGGAGTACCCAGACTTACGCTATGTTTTTGAAAATGGTAACTAGATTTATTCTCTACCTTTTGGTGTCCAGGGCCAATATTTTTTTGACAAGTGTCTATGAGCTCTTACCACATGCCACACACACAGCTGTGCAGGGGGCACACAGCAGTTAACAAACACACACTCATGCTGACCTTCTCAAAGTTTATGCTACGTGGCTTCACAGAATGTGCTGAGGTGAAGGGTGGAGGAGGTTGGGGCTTTTGCTTTGTCTTACTAATGGCTCAGAATCCTCCATCTCTGTACTAATTTCTCAGTCACAGGCCTTCCTCTTGTTGCCTGGGTGGCGGCAGAGCCCATCTCCTTAAATGCGCTGCCTGCCCGCTGGCTCTGGCTTGGAGGCTTTGCCCAGGTGCTGGCTTCTCAGGTTTCTGCCTGGTCTTGCTGCCCTGCTTTGATGTCATGTCCAGCTGTGGCCAATGGAGGGCGGTGGTGACCATTCCTTGTGGCGCGGTGGGGTTGGGGGTGCGCTACCTGCTGCAGAACTATGGCTGCTAGGGCCTGCACCACTCCCCAACCCCCACCCTACTGTGCACCCAGGGCCCCTGGACAGCAGGCCTGGAGCACTCTCCAAACATCAGACAGGCCTCCCAGTAAACCCGTTGGCACATTAGCAGCTAGCGGCCCCTGTCACAAGTCTTAATCGCTCTTATTAATGCTGTTGAGCTATTCAAAATTAAATGATGCCTTTATGGCATTCATCATCATGATTGAATTTGCTGGTCATTCAGAATATCCCACATGGTGATACTGACGACATGTCATTGAATGTTCTCAGAAACTTCATGTTGTTGGTGTTGCGTCCCCATTTTTCAGAGGAGAAAGAATCAGCTTAGGGGTCTATTGTTATTTGTGTGAGTTTGCACAGCTGAGGTAGGGTGAGGGTAGAAGGTGGAGATCAAGTGAGGGGGGTAGAAATTGGTGGAACGAAGTGGGTCTTCCCAGTGTATCCATGGCGGGGATCCCTGCTATGTGGGTCCTTGGCCCCCATCCCAGACCCTAAAGGGTTTTACTTCTCTGTGCAGGGATCAGCAGTGATGACTCCAGAGATGGAGAGGAGCTGCCAGAACCCTCCACCTCAGCGCAGAAAAGGGGGCCTGGTAAGAGAGGGGCAGTGGGGCTGGAATGCAGGGTCAGAATTAAGGGCTGCTGTTACCTGAGGCATCTTATTGTGAACTCGATCGCTACAAGGGTCTGGTTTATCCTGGAATCTGTTCTGTGCATTTATTTTACTTGAAATTTCAGGGAAATGCGGAAAGTTAGGAATTCATAATTGGTATTCTCTCTGTATTTTTGATGGGCTATTATTAATCTACATATGCACCCAAATATCGCTTATATTGTAGAAATAGGCTAACAAAGCAATGAGTTTGTTTTGAAACTAGTTGCTCTAAATATAAAATTTTGCATTTAGACAGTGATTTCTACAGAGAAAAAGCTAAATATTCCTTTACTGGTACATCTTACCATCCTCTGGTCACAAATTCTGTATCTTTGCAAAAGAACTCATCCGCTGGCTCGTGTCTACAGAAATCAAGACTTGAGATCAAGTGTTCTGAAAACTGCCATATTGTTCTTGGCAGAGTTCTTCAGCAAGTCATTGGTTTTTCAAAGGACCTTTGCAAACAATATCTTGCTTTTCCTTTACACCAAATTTAAGGGGTTGGTAGGGGGGGACTTGCCCTAGCAGAGAAAAAAGCAGTCCTGCAGCTCCTGCAACGTTGCATGGAGATCAGGGGAGAGACAATCCTAGCTTCCTGGGTTCTGTGCTATTTCCTGTGTAAATTTAAAGCTCCCATTGGCTAGCAAACTGGTTGTTTCCTCAACCACCCTGCAGCCTATGATCTGTAGCTCTTTAGTGCACAAAGTGTTTTGTTTTCCTTCCTACTTTTAGACACAGAATATTAGGAAAACACCTATTTAGGAACCACACCAGGAACCCACCCAAGAACAAGCAAAAATACTACTTGTTCTTGACGAGAGAACGGTGCTGCGTAGCCCCTGCATTCCTCCCGCTCAAAGCAAAGTGCAAGTATGCGTGGGTTTGTAAAGCGTGTGTTCTCGTGTGTCTTGGCCTAGGCAGACTGCGCTGAAGGGAGCTCCAGAAAGTGTCTGTGGCTCAGACACAAGAGGTTATTTCTGGATTTGCCAACAGTTCAAGAGGGTAGCAGGTTGTGTGGGGAGGTAGCAGGTTCCCCATCTTCAACTCAGGATCTCCCAGGTCTCCCTGCAGGAGAAACAGCAGAGGTGAATGACTTGTGAAATGGCAATGTTGGAAAAGTCATGACACATTTTGCTTGAAAAACAGAAAGATATATATGTATATATCTCATGACTTTTCTGACAACCCGTGTGTGTGTGTAAATATAGAGACACACAGAAGTGTGTGTGTATACACAGATATATTTAGATATATAGTCACCACTGTTAGTCAGATGTTACAGAAATATATTAGAAATATAGAGAGATTGATCTAAAAATCATCAAGAAACTAGGCGCCTCCCCGGTGGCAAAGATACCTGGGGAAGTCTGAAGTTTTTCTAAGTGGGCGTAGAAACTCAAGATCACCAGATTGGAACTTTTGTGAGGAAGAGTGATGATTTTCAAGATACCTTTCAGCATTGTACTTGAAACACGGTAGGCAAGTCCATGACTGACTAGCAAGTCTGCAGGGGAGTGTCCACAGGGAACTGGCCAAAGTAATAGTGTCAACAATTTGGTTGGTGTCACAAGAGCCAGCATTGGGGGGATGAACTCAGTAGCCTGTGAGGTGAAACTGAATATAGATGATGAAAGTAAAGATGGTAAAAACAGCCAAAAGATCAAGATCAGCTTGGAAGAAGCAGACTAGAAGCAAAGAGAAGCCAGAAAAGAAGGGGCTGGAAAGAGGATTACTTCAGTAAACAAGATCAGCCACAGGAGCTCAGAAACATACGTGGGCATGACGTACATGCGGGGGTAATAAGCTGGAAGTGAAGATGTGGCGTAAAGAGAACTCTGTAGAGGAAGTTAAAAGGATCAAGGTAGAGAGAGTGGCCAGTGTACCTGGGAGGGAGATGGGATGGACCGTGGTGGAGTCTGAGATGATCACAAGACAAATGCCACTTTTGCACGTGGTGGGGGCGAGGGGGGTGCAGGTTTCACCATAGCCAGGAATTTTCAGGGTGTCCCCAGGAACTAAGGTGGCCTACTTCACTCACCCCGATGACAAGAGACCTCACCCGGCAGATTATCCACTCTCATGGCTTCAGTCACCCTCCACAATCTCATGGTTTCTCTACATCCTTCCCTAGACCAGCCCTGCCCTCTGAGCTTCCAGCTCATCCACTCAGAGCAAAGACTCTGGCCAAGGGTCTGAAAGTCCCAACTTTTTCCACTTATTGATAGATGCTCTTGTTCAAGACATTCAAGCTCAACACTTCCAAATTGAGCACATCAGCTTTAGTTCTAAAGCTAGCATCTTCATCCTCAGTGTTCTCTACTTCTAAAACACACCCTTAATTGTTCCACTCTGACTGTGCCGTCTCCTCAGTTAATATGCCCATTCTGTCACCTGTCTCTCTTAATTCTTCCTTTCAAATGCCTCCACCCTGTCCATATCTCTCCAAACTCATATTCCCTCCAATCCATAGCCAGATCACTTTTTGATTGAACTCAAGCTATTGGTTCTTATTAACCCCTCTTCTTTGCATTTTTATTTTATTTTATTTTTCAGAGATTTACTTTATGCATCCAAGAGCAGGGGTACAGGCCAGAGGTGCAGGGGTGAGAGCATTCACCAGAGACAGAGTGGGGAGCAGAACAGGCAGACTGACTGAAACACACTGCTGAGGGGAGCAGCGGGTGAGACAGGAGAGGTCTGCTGCACCATGTGGGTATCTCCCTGGCTGGGGATAGAATTCTGGCCACAACGGCTGTTGATAGCATCACAGTGCTGACACTTAACCCCTTGCACCACCAGGGAGGCCCAGCTTTGCATTTTTGTATGAGTAGCTCCAGCTGGGCTCATGTCTGCCTAAATAAGACTAAAGCTCTCACCTTCACTGCAGTTGCCCTGGCCACAAATTAAGTTCTGGCCAAACTTAGTGAATATGAGCAGAAAAACACTGAGCCTCTTCTAGGTCTTTCCCTTAAAAGAAATGAGAGATTGGGTCCCTGTTTATTCCCCATATTTTCATTGGTTAGGAGTATGTGCCTCTGATATTTATAAATGTTCATTTTTTGTTCAAACAATGACCCTTAAAATTGCTTTTTTGTTACATTTGGTCCTCTCTCTTAGATATACCCATTAACTTCACACCCAGAAGATTTTTTAAATTATATGTGTACATTTTGAACCATGATATTACCTTTATAGTTACTTTTCAGCTATTAAATGTGCTCTGTATTTACTCCTTGGTTTGTGCTCTATATTTACTCCTGTGACTTCTAGCTATAAACCAGAAAATGACCTTACTCTACCACCCATAATTCCACTTTCCTTTTTTTTTTTTCTGTTATTGTTCCATTTCTATATTGACAGGGCATATACACTTAAAAAATCTTGTCTGTCACCTTACTTTTTACCTTTATTTTACTCCTTTTGCCAAAATTTTTTGAGACCTGTCTTGGTTTGCTGAAGTAATTTTCTCAGTAAGGATTCATAGGAAAAATATTCCCAGAATTTTCCTGTTCAAAAGTATTCTTTTTGTTGTTGTTTAAATGTGAAAAATAACCTTCTTACTCCTTAATTTCTAGATATCTGTTGTAGAGTTTGCTCCAATTTCCTGTGCCATCAAAGCTGCTGTAGAAAATTCTATACCCAGTAAGATCTTCCTCCCTTGAAAATTACTTGTCTTTTTTGCCTGGCTGCCCATTCGATTCCTTCTTTATCTTTAAAGTTGAGTAAGTTTGTCAGAATTAAGGGTTCACTGTCTAGAGTCAATTTTCTCTGCCACAGGATGAAATATATATACTCATGATAAGTATATTCATTTTTCTGTTATAATGTC